CCCCACCTCCTACCTACCAGCCTCATCCCTGCCTCCTTGACCTGTCCATCGTCCCTTGATTGATGACTTATGGGAAAGTTAGAGATGGTATTAAATGCAAAAAGGAGGCATATACATTGACAAGAAAGAAGAAACAGCCATGATCATAATAAATAGCAGAGAAGGCTCAATGGGTCAAATAGACTACTCCTGCTCCTATCTTTATCTTTCAAAGCAAAGGTGAGAATTTCAGAATTGAGGCATTGTTTGACAAGGATCTAGTGTAGATCAGGCGTAGACGTGATGGGTGAGTGGGCGTTGATGTGAGTTAGGACAAGGGCAACAGTGTTTTGAATGACCTTGCATTAGCAGCAGGCAAAACATGGGGATTCGACCAGGAGAGCATTGTGACAGTCAAGTCTAAAAGTAACAAGGTTATGAATGTGAATTTCAGTTGCGGATGGCTGAGAGAAGCGTGATGAAACTGAGGTGGATGTAGATGATTTTAGCAATTGTGTTGATGTGTGTTATGAAACTGATGTCGAGGTCAAATATGGCATCACAGTTGCAAGGAAGCTGGATCAACTCCAGCCAGTTGCTAATGGAGAAGTGGAGTTAGTGATTGAGGAATGGAGTATGTGACTGGACCTGACTAAAGTACCTTCTGTTTCCTTAATGCCTAATTTGAGGTTTGCTGCAAATATAAATTTGGAAGATCCACAATTGAACACAGTGATATAAATTTAATCCATAAACAATGTTGCGATTTGCATGTGCTGGATGCATATACGCCCCAATATGGAAGAACTGCTGTACACTGGACATCAAAATTCAGAATGCTCAACTGTACATTTGATGTCCTATGGTCATTCTATAAACTATAAACCATAAACAACTTTTTCTGTTCTGAGGAAGCCCTTGTTTAAAAACTGCATTCGCTTAAGCAGCATTGGTTTGCCACCAAGTGGTTGGTGGATGGTTTTCACTTACAGCAGGACATTGGAGGCTGCAAGCAGGCATAACTGTGATCAAATCATCCTGTGTTCTGCTTTTTGCATATTTTTGATATTCAATTTAAATTCTGAAAAATTAGGAACAGCACGACTCTTCAACTTGGCTAAAGTATAATAGTTATAACCATGTCATGTGACAAAAATGATCTTTTATTTAAAAAATATCATTAATTCTGCTAGTAGAAAGAAACATTTGTGACTATTCCACCACCAATAAATCCTTGCTAGCTTTATAAGAAGTAATATTGTATTCCTGGTTTGTCTGTTTTTATTCTATTTGTTGCATGATATTTGGTTTTGACTTTTTAATTCTTTCAGATTCCATCGATTTCTTGACGTAGACAGTCAGAAAATAACGCGTGTGATTGATGGGTGAGCTTCTTCATACACTTATATGTGGGCCTTATTTTACAGAAGATATGAAATGTTGTCAACTGACCTTAACTTCTGCTTTTCAGAATCCACGAAAAACTGATTATTCATTCAGAACTCCCTAAAGCTATAAGCTGGCGGAGGTTAACAGATGAATTTCTGGATTTGCCCCTTGAGACTGTCGAAGGAACAAAGGTAACTGGTTTTCATCTAAGTCTTGTGTTAAATTGAACTGAACTTCACTGTTTCAACAATTTTGTGTATTCTTAAGAACTGATCAATGTAATCATATTTGTTTTAAAAAAAAATTGCTTGTACTTTCACATCGTTTTCACTCTCAAATTTCTTCTGAATTCCATGCTCAAATGATATTTCATGAAAGCTGTATCCCCTCTAATATCTCAGCAAATAATGATTAAAAACAAATCAGCTCAGGCTACTCAAAATTTAGAATGTTACAAATATGTGAGCTATTATAGTGTGATGAATCACATTGAATCCAGGGAGAGCTAGCTATTTGGAAACAAGATTTGCATAAAGGTAGGAGTCAAAGGGTGGTGATTTTTCAGACTGGAAGCTTGTGACCAGCGGTGTGCCGCAGGATCAGTGCTGAGTCCACTGCTTTTTATTATTTATATAAATGATTTGGCTGTGAACATAGGAGGTATAGTTGGTAAGTTTGCAGATGACACCAAAATTGGTGTAGTGGATGGTGAGGAGGGTTACCTTAGAGTGCAGTGGGACATTGATCAGATGGGCCAATGGGCCGAGGAGTGGCAGATGGAGTTTAATTTAGACCTTGTGGTGCGGGTTCGTAGTTCCTTGAACTAGTTGTGGGTAGACAGTAAAGAAGGCATTTGGTACGCTTGCCTTTATTGGTCAGTGCATCGAGTATAGAGTTGGGCTGACATGTTGCAGCTGTATAGGACATTGTTTAGGTCTCTTTTAGAAGACTGCATTCAATTCTGGTCTCCCTGCTCAAGTTGTTAAACTTGAAAGGGTTCAGAAAAGATTTACAAGAATGTTGCTGGAATTGGAGGGTTTGAGCCAAAGGGAGAGACTAAATAGGTTGGGCTATTTTTCCTGCAGCATTGGAGTTGAGCGGTGACCTTAAAGAGACTTATAAAATCATGAGGGGCATGGATAGGTCCTTTTTCCAGGATAGGGGAGTCCAAAAGTAGAGGCCATAGGTTTAAGGTGAGAGGGAAAAGATTTAATAGGGACCTAAGGGGCAACTTTTTCATGCAGAGGGTGGTGTATGTATGGAATCAGCTGCCAGAGGAAGTGATGGAGGCTGGTACAATTACTACATTTGAAAGGCATCTGGATGGGTACATGAATAAGAGGGGTTTAGAGGGATGTGGGCTAAATGCTGGGAAATGGGACTAGGTCAGATTGGGATGTCTGGTAGGCATGAACAAGTCAGACTGAAGTGTCTGTTTCCTTGCTGTACATCTCTATGACTGTGTGGTGCGACGACTGTGTGCTGCGACAGCTGTGTGTTTGGTCATTATCGCAACCAGTCCCCATGCATATGTATGCCCAGCAGGATTTTCTCGTTAGCAATCAGGAGAGCTTTTCTTTACCGTCACCTACATGAATACTGGCAAACAACTAATTTCACTCGGTGCAGAGATAGAACACACTCTTCTTAGAAACTCACTAATTTGAAGCCTGTGGGAGTGCAATTATCCCCGTTTTTTTTAATGTGAAGAAGATTCGGCAAGGAGTTCTTTTGTGTTTGAGTTGCAGTCAGTCAGCATTCTGTAATTGTCGTAAATAATAAAATGTTTTGTTCCTTAGAGTTGACATCCGTTGCCTTAAAGAACTTGATAAATATGAATTATGTAGAGGGATACCTTCCCTCCTAATCACATCTTAGAATCATAGAGACGTACAGCAAGGAAATGGACCCTTTGGCCCAATTTGTCCATGCTGACCAGGTTTCCTGCATTTTGGACCCTATCTGTCTAAACCTTTTCTGTCCGTATACCTTCCAAACATCTTTTAAGTGTTGTAATTGTACCTACCTGTACTACATCCTCTAGCAGCTTGTTTAATACACACAGCACCCTCTGTTTGAAAAATTTGCCTTTCAGGTCCCTTTTAAATCTTTCCCTTCACGTATTAAACCTATACCTTCTAGTTTTGATTATCCTTACAATGTTGCATTCAGAGAGGTATTTTGTGAAACTGCAACCTAACCATAACTTGTTCAAATTCTTCACTAAATAACTTCTGTAATTGAGCATTGCTTTTTTTCTTGCATGCACACAGATTTTGTTAAATCAAGGGGGGAAAAGGGTAAGGGATACTAATGCTGCTGGTTTCAAAACTAGCAAAGAAGGTTCCAGGTTGACTGTTAGCAGCCAGGATAAGACAGGGATTACAATGGCATAAACCACATCATGTAGGATGTAACTCTATGGAGGCGATGGTGTCTGCTGGTGTAAGTCCTGTGTTCACTATTTTCTGGAGGGCTCCCCGCAAGTTGTTCCACTTGGATTCTTGACAAGCCAGTGTTGGACCTCCAGAGCTGCTGGTCAAGAATGTTTCTGGAGGCTGGTAGCTGCATCGAATGGCAAGCCACTGGGGCATTAGTGGCTGCAGTTGATACTACACTTATCTGAGACCTAGGATTATTAATGGATCCCAGGCCAGAGGTGAATGAGTTTGGCAATGGATGTTTATTATTGAGCCTTCCTTTGGATGCTGATCCCTCAATGTGGCACAACAGCATTAATTCACCCCTTAGCCTTGTTTGGCAGTGGAGTGAGGAGTCTCACCATGGATTTAATTGGTGGGACGGTGGTGGGATCAACACCAACCACTGTTGCTTTATTAAATGCCCCATTACCACCAAACTCACCACACGTGGGTACAGGATTTTACCCAGTGACGTAAATGGATAATGTACCTGGTTCCTATGAAACTGGATGAAAACATGCACTTGTTGAGGCTCATACCTGAGCAGTGCTCACTGGGTTAAGCATATTTAATAATGAAGTCAGTCCCTTTTAAGATAGGGAAATACATTGGAAAGGCAAATGAACTTCGGAGTAATGCAGAACAGGAAAGCCCTTGGTTTGATAGTCAGCTGATTCACTTAGAGTAATACTGTATTTCAGCAGTCTTTATATCAGAGAATTGGGGGTGAAGTTATTCATTTTAATAAAAGTTGAGGATTTTATGTTTAGTGTCAGCATTTACATAGAAACATAGAAGATAGGAGCAGGAGGAGTCCATTCGGCCCTTCGAGCCTGCTCTGCCATTCTTCACAATCATGGCTGATTGTCCAACTCAATAGCCTAATCCTGCTTTCTCCCTGTAACCTTTGATACCATTCGCCCCAAGTGCTATATCTAGTTGCCTCTTGAATACATTCTTTGTTCTTAATCCCTTGAAATATGCACTGATGAATTGCAATCTTTATCTCAAAAGTTTATTTTTATGGGACATATTCCTGTAAAACTAAAATGAAGTGCCTTCCTTTCAAATTGTTGCAGACGAAGGAACACTATGCAATACTGTCCTTTTTATTGGCCCTTTCTGACTCACCATCTAATTGTCAGTACACTGAGAAGGCAAGACAGAAGGAAGAGGGTGAGTCATTGTGTCATTCCTTTTATTCATTTGTGATTTTGCTTTTACAGCAAATGTCAGTCCTTGAAGTACAGCAAACTTTGTTTTAAGTGATACTTATGAACCAGCACCCTCAATAAACTTGCAAAAATTATGTACCTGAAATACCAGATGTTCACTGTATTAATAGATCTCCACAATGTCTGAGTAGTCAGTTGAATGTGCAAGTGAGAAGGCTCTTTGTTGTTAAGTTTTCTTTCAGAGAAAGTTGCATTGTTATTTAAATGATTTATGCTGTAAATAAAGTATAACAATGTGGATGGCCCTGCATTACGTTTTTATACTTAGTGTGTGTTTTTTCACTGATTACATGGATCTCTTGATCAACTGGCACATTACTTGTACCATAGGTACTGGTTAATAAAAACTTGGCTATAACTGAAGCAATTGAAAATGTCTTTGAGAAGCTTGGGCTCATTTTATTCAGTGTGCACCTGTTCTGAGAGTTAAATGTTACGTTCCTCAAACGCAACTGTCCATTTATTATATGGCCTCCGTTTTTAGCATGAGCAGATGTTGCTATTATTTATAATTTGGATTTCACTTTTTTAAAAAGGACTAAAACTGCTGAACGTTAGGCAGGAATTGGAAGAAGGAACAGAAAGTTAAAGTTTTAATATTTACAACTTGTCATTAGATTTAGAGCATCTGTCAAATGTTCCTGCAATCTGAGAAATTTTGCTTTGTGCTTTATTTTGTTTCACATAAACACTTACTACAGTATTTCACTTTCTGCTTTATCTGAAGGAAGAAGTGCAGCAAGAAATTGGTCCTGAAAATTACACAGCTTTGTGATCTATTTTGCCACATGATCCTGAACTTGTCTAATCAATTAGGAGCCTAAATTGACCCCCACTGGTATTTGTGACGGTTGTGCCACTACTGGATTTATATTTCACATGCTCAAAGTGTATCATAACATGTCTGAATGGATTGATTAAAAATATCTAGTGGTGTAGTTGTGGCCAAGTGATAGATTTGAAATCCATTGGGGTCTCCCCATTTGGTTTTGAATTTTTGCCAACTATAGTTGTAAATGTTTCTGATTTGAGGGTCTTGTGGCACAATGGTAGTTATGGGCTCCAGTCCCACCTGCCATGCTCGCATTGGTTAAAAGTCCTTCAATCAGCTTCTATTGAGTTAAGGATGATTTCCTTGGCACCTAACTGTTAGTTGTTATATAACCACCCTGTTTTATAACATTGCAGTAATGATGTAATCTTGAAGAGATTCAGCTTCATCTCTCTTTGTTTCTCTCCTGTTACGAAGCTGCCTTATTCCTTTGGATGGAACTGAAATAGGCTTGGGCAATGTTGATTATAAATGAAATACTTAAAATGTAAAAGTCCAGAAGAAATGTTCTTCCTTTATCACTAATATGGACAAGACCAAACCCCTTCAGATATATCAGGGAGATAGCCTAGACCGTAACTTTTATAGTATTCAAAGAAAAGTGCAGTGTTCCAGATGTAATTTAGTTGGTTACACTACTCGGCTTTAAGCAAAACACACTTTACTCTTACACTACAGTTAAAATAGAAGAAAAGGAGGAAGAATTGGGATAACTTTAACTACTGTAAAATTCAACAGAATAGTAAATTATTTAACTACTAAATAGCAACTGTCCTAACATAATTTCTCATAAACATGCCATTGGCAAAGGCAAATTCATTAAAATAGATTGTCTCACATGCAGTGTTTCTCCAGTCCAGGAGAAAAGAACACCAAGAGATTTTCTAGCACAGAGAGGGAGAGCTGTATGTCAGCTTCCACAACCAGTTTCAAAAACCCCAACAACTACTGAAAGCTAAACTAAAATCTTAGTTCTATGGGAGCCTGACTCCACCCATTCCTGCTGCTTCTATTGTTCCTACTTCAACAAAAAAACCCCAAAGCTTCAAAAGCTGTATACTTTATTGGCTTGGAAGAGACAGCTCAGAACCTATGGCTCAAAGGCTTTTTTCAGGAAAAAAAAATGACAAAATACACCTCTTAAAACCATAGTATTGCCACATCACAACCAAATTATATGCTGAATTTGAATTCTATAGCTGATTTTTTTTAAACAGCTAAATACTTTGCTCTCGTGTCAATTATCATCTTTCTATTCCTGTTTTGGGGAAGGATTCATGCATCCCTTAAACATTGCCTCAAGAATCACTTTTTTTCCTGGTTTGGTTTTTTGAAGGAGTGTTTCCTTCCTTGTTAGTTATTTTAAATGTTTTCATTATTTGTCTTCATTTTGTGGTCTGATGTATTTTTTTTGTAGTTTTTTTCTTTGAATTTCCATTCCCTTTGTAGATGAGCTTCTGCAGTCTTGCAGAAAAATACATACATGGGCAATGGAGTATAATTCATATTAACTTTTCCATTATAATTGCTGATGACAATTGCCAAGTGTTAAATAATATTAAATCAGAAGTGCATAATTAGATTTCAATGGGATCCATTATGAAGGCAGGAAAGTAGTTTGCTTAATTTTTTTAGCTACTAGCTAAAAACTGACTAAATTACCTACTTGCAATTATACAACTTCCATCAGAATACATTTCAAGGAGAAGTATATAGAAACCAAGGTGAAGCAAGCTACAGAGTAAAAAGAAACCAGACATAGCCAAAACATTGGCTTTTTAAAAATATGTTGGAAGTAGACAAGGGTAGTGATGCAAGACAGTTTCGGAAGGAAATTACAAAGTGCAGGCTGGAAGGACCGCAGCAGATGGTGCACTGGAGGGTGTTGGGGGAATGCTTGATTCTTGATTGGTAGAAGAAAGCTTGAACAAAAAGCTGGGTTTTAAGACAGGTCTTAATGAATGTTTATGTTGGGAATATTGAAGAGTGAGACTAAGCTGCTGAATTGAAGGCTGCAATCAGTAAGGGAAAGATGAATTTGCAAAAAATGCTGCAGTTAGAAAGACAATAAGTCCAGGTATGGCATTGTGTGTTACAAAAAAATGAGGCCTTTAAGAAATCTAATCAAGAACAAGAACTTTAAATCTAGATGAAATGCAACCCATTGAACCACTGTCTGAAGTGTATTGTTTTTCTCTAGTGCAACATGATGATTTTGACTGGGGGAAATACCTGATGGAAGGTGAAGAAATTGACATTGGCCCATATCCAGACACTCCAGTGAGTAACATAGTTGAATTTTATTCTTTCATTGCCCTTTGACTCTTGCTATGCTATTCCAGCTGGGAGGCAACTTGCACCTGTTTGTGTATCTAACAAGTCAACACTGTCTAAAATTACTGATAGTAACTTGCATTTTACTTTCTTATTCAATGGTGGAGCAATCTTGAAGAGCCAAATGGTCTACTCCAGAATGTTGCATTAATGTCCAACGTGTTACCTGAAAATAGATATTTTGACCACTTTTTGTATGTGTTGAATATTTGCCCTCCTTGCCTAAGTGTACAAGCTCAAGGTTAAGTTACCACAATACAATTTGAGGAATTTAACCAGTCACATACTTTCCTGCCTGACCCTGCCCACTAAATTTTATTGTTTGTTGCATTTTAAATTTGGGGTTACTTTCTATATGACTTCTATATGCTCATATTTATAATGAGCTGATCAGAAGAGTGCTGAGTCCGTTCTCATGAAATACTTGGTCTTCTCATAAAATTCTGTTAATATATAACCATGGACTAAAGATATTTTCTAATCCATCTGTTCAGACATGTTAAGACACACCTCTGAAGCAGGTGGGACTTGAACCTGAGCCTCCTGACTCAGAGCGAGGGACACGATCACTATGCCATAACAGCTCTTAACAATGTCCTCTATCCATCTCCCTTTACTTCCAGTGCCTTTTGAGAATGACGCTTAGCACCTTTGAGCAATAAAATTGCCTCATCTCTGTCTTAAGTAGCACCTCTCCCCTTATTTTCAGATGTTGATCTCCAGTTCTGGATTCTAGATACAAGGAAACATTCTATCGATATCCAAACTATTACGACACTTCAGGATCTTATATGCTTTAATCAAGTCACCTCTTACTCTCCTAAACTCTAGCAGATACAACAGATGTATACTATTCCTGCAATTGAGTTCTTGCCTTTCATTATTCTGCATCTCTACCTAAAATTGTTTCTACATCCTGGTTTCATGGACTTAAGTCATCCTCTATTTTGCAAATACCATCAGTTAACATAGTCACCCCTTCATCTTCTCCTGGTTTCTTGTCCTATCTAAATATCCTGTACCCTTCAATATTCAGATCTCAAACTGTGTCACCTTGCAGCAATGTCTCCGTAGTTAGTGGCTATCAGATCGTAATTATTTCAATCTTTTTGTGCTTTTGGTTAATCTGTTTTGTTCTGAACACACTGTACATTCAGATTCAGAGCCTTTAGTTTTAGTTTTATTAATTTAGAAACATACAAACGAGGAACAGGAGTCAGCCATTCGCTCACAAAAGCCTGCTTTGCTTGATATGATTTTAACCCTAAATCTAAATTCTTGCCTAGCTATGATAACTTTTCATCCATTTGTTTCAGAAGACCATAAGTCTTAGAAGTAAGCCATTCAGCTGAATGTATCTGCTCTGCCATTCAAGGAGATCATGTCTGACCTGATAATCCTCAACTCCACTTTCTTGCCTATTCCCCATAACTATTGATACCCTAGTTGCAGCTAAATTACCACAAGCTACTTTTAATTTGGCTACTTATTAAGAAATCCCATGGGCAGTTAAGTATTGAAACAGTGATTTCAGCTTTATTGCATGTAGCAACCAAAATAAGACCCCTCAAGTAAGCAAGTTAAGCCCCACAACCCAACTTGGCTATTAACTGATTAATGATGGAATCTGACCAGGATTTCACCAACAGTGTCAGTCTCTGGAAGTGTCCAAAGTTCGATCCTTGTACAGTGTTGTTCTTCAAAGTTCTGCTACTAATTTGTTCTGGTGTTGGGTTCTGATACAATTTTCTCTGTTTCAAGTTTGTAGTGTGACATTATTGATGATTCAAAAGATTCTTTCATCTCCCAACATTAATTACATTTCCTGGAGACCAAGTTCGTCGCTTGCTGCCTTAACAGAAATAGCTCCTTTGTTCAGTGTTACTTTCGGGGTTACCTGTCTGTTTAAAACACAGCTTCTCCTGCAGTTAACTCCTTAAATTCTTTTGCAGGACAGTCAGTTGTCCTTTGTGGTAATAAAGCATCCTGTTTATCAAACAGGTGTCAAAGCAATTGTTATTTCCTTTCTCCCAGGAAAAGTTTGTTCGTTTGGTTGTTTGTTTATGTTGATTCTTCCCAGGGATGGTTAATTCAAATATTGCTTTGTTTCTGTGTAACAGCTTGTCTTTGTCCCATTCATCTTGAGAAACAGCTTATTGCAGAAAAAGTTATTGCTGATTCTTTCAACCCGTGAAGTTATTAAAGTTGTGAAGTTTACATTGTCACACCCTTAAAGATTACAAATCTATCTCAAATATACGTGGTGAGCCAAATTCTTCTAAGCTCCCGTGAGTACAAGACCAACCAATCTAGCTTGAAACATCACATTCTATCCATATCGAGGTCACTCTCTGCAACATTCTCAGCTTTACTGTTGTCCATGCCCTAAAGATGCTGTCATTACATTACTGACAGCTGCTTTCTCTGTCACAAAGGTAGCCATTTTTTCTATCATCCTCTACCCGTTCTCAGTTACAATTTGTCAGAAGGTATGCTGGCTAGATTCTGTCCTACACTTAGGAAAACAAATGTATAACCCCTTCCTTGTCCCTGACACATTTAACTTAAAATCCTGTGTCAATTTCAAATTCTTCATGTCCTTGTCCATTCCATGTCTGCAACTTTCCGTAGCTATATGTTTTCATGTTCACAATTGGACCTGCTGATTCTAATCCTCTAAATGTTCACCTACTTTAGTTGCAGAAGTTTGAGCAATCTCAGTTCTACCCTCTCTAAAACTCCCTCTTTAAACCTATTTCTTTCTCACACTATGCATTCTTTTATGAAAGCCACCTTTTCAATTAAGCTTCTGGTCACTTCTGCGTATTTTTCCCATTCGACATTGTTCTTCTCCTTCTCCTCCCTAGCCACTACCTCTCTAAAATGACACTTTGAGTTGCAATATAAATATTTTGTTATTTAGGAGTGGTCTGAAGAAGAAAATGAAGAGGAGCTCCAAGAGTCCCTCAGTAGAGAAGATTCTGGAATTCAGGTCGACAAAACATCACCAGAAGAACAAGCACAAATCAAGAAAGTCGCACCACATGCCTCTTCCAAGGGTATGTTTTGTAAAAGTCTAGTCTTCAGGCCATGTGCTAATCCTATTGGTCTGAGTACATGTAGAAAGTTAGACTTTGAGCAGTGGCTTACTACATAAATGCACAGTCCACTGCAGAACTGGGTCATATAGGTCAAGAAGAACCTAGGTTTGATCCCAAATCTGTGTTGTGCTGGTTAAATCTGAGCAGTGAATCCAAGACTAGGGAGTTAGAAAAGATTAAAAATTGATTTTATGGGTAATGAAGAACCACTGGATTCTATGATCTATGATCTCACTGATTGTCACTGTTTCAGTCTATGTGAAAAATGGCTACATCTGAAATGTTAGAGAGCCCCAGAGATTTGTGATGTATTTATACAACAGAAGTGGAGATTATTGGGTGGGGCATAAAAAGTCATCTGTAACATAGATGTAATTCAACTGGACTCTTCAAGTATTTGAATTTATAGCCATGTTTATATGCTGCATATTAATGTGTAATATTCTCCTGAACATAGATATGAATTTAACATAAAACCTTTTATGACAGATGAGCATTTCGTTTTTCACCAGTGGTTAGAACAGTCTCCGGAATATTTTTCTGTTGTGACCTTATTTTGAAGTTTGAGAATTGTCACAGTTGATGGAGATGGTGGAGGAGAAGGTCTAGAAGTTTGGAGTGTGGGGGTGGTCAGGCATTTCTTTTTCAGAGATCGTGACTGCGCTTTAGGTCCCAAACCCCACTTTGAGAAGCCCAGGCTTAGAAGCAATTTAACTAAGCTAGCACCATTTCTGGCTCATCTTTTCTGTTTTCTTGGGCTCCGCAAGATCCTGATTTGCCTTTCAAAGAGTCAGGTAGTTCAGAAACCTTGTCCCTAGAGGAACCTTCTTTGGTCAGTTTTACATCATTAGTGTGGAAAAGAAAGGTTATGCAGAGAGAATTTTGAGCTGTGTATATGGCTGCAAATATATATGAGCACTGGAATGTTTGTATACTGTTGCAGGTTTAGAGTCAATAAGTTGGAGATCTTCATGCATCCAACTAATTGTTTCAGAATGAAAGCCGACAAATACTCTAGTTGTGTGTCATTTGCTTGTCTTATCTGAACTGTAGATACAAAAAATGGCTATGAGATTGAAAAACACTAGAATTTATGTTATTACAAGCCCCATGAACTGATAACTTTTAAAAGGGGAGATGAATTTTCCATTGACCGATGGAAAGAATAGCAACACAAGATTTTAAGATTTAAGATTTTCCTAGTAACAAAACAAACTAAAATCAGCATTGGCTGAACATTACATAAAACGACTAATACTTCAAAGTAAAGGAAAGATTGTTTGTGCCGCCTACCCAGCAGACACCTAGGCTTCCATATTCAGTTCCACACTCCACTGGCTTTTCAATAGTCTTCCTTCTTCCTTTATCTTGCCGCATAAATGCGAAGATTTCAATATACCTTTGAAATTTGCTCTGCTCAGTCTTCTAGCACCCTCTGCTGACTCCTTGGTACTTAAACCTCCTTAAGACTCATCTCTACAAACAGGGAACATATCTTACTAGTATTGCACTTGTAGCTAGCATATAAACAGTCCTTCCCTGTGTTTCACAACAACTGCTTCTGTGTCCCTTTCTATATCTCTGATGCAATGTGTCCGTTTCTAACCATTAAATCAGTTGTCATTTTTTTAATATGTAAAACTGCCATTTAATTTTCCGTAGGTTTTGGCCTGCAACTCCTTCCTTATTACAATGAAAGCACATGGTCCAGTCTCCTGTCAGGGTTACATGAATCTCCATTCCGCTATTCAGGGTATTCTGTCTCATTTTCAATTCTAGGAAATATTGTAAAACAGAACTATTTTGTGAAGTCTTCCATTTGCAGACTGTTCCAAACAATTATTTTAGCTCAAATATTGAAATCGAAAGTAATGGCTAAACAATGTGTATTACTGTTTTGTTTTTGTCTTGATCTAGTTGGTGAACCAGAAGCACGTTTGTGGCTGGAGCAGCATGTGGTTACTCAGTACTGGACAACTAAAGCGTCTAAATTTAATCACAGCTTTCACCTGCACTCCAACTTAGCTGCTGTCTGGTAAGAAAATAGTTACCAATGTTTTTTAATAATTACCTTGGGCAGCAATTTCCTACATCATAAAAGAATGCTGATTTGCAGCCGCACATGATGCGTAGGGTCATAATTTCTTTGAGTAGATTAGAACCTGTAATTTTGATTTGATTTGTGTGTGGTATTTTGTATTTTGTTACAAAATACAGTGAAAAGTGTTGTATAGTGTTGCCACTTTCCAGTGCCACCTTTAAACACAGAAAAATAAACTAAAACATAGAATATTAGAAAAAAAAGTGTTCATCTTTACAGTCTGTCTTGTTACGTACTTTGCTGTGGGCCATGGGCCTGGTGACTAGGCATGAGTTTCAGACAATTCAAACTCTATTTCTGTGAGTCTACAACCATTGAATATATTTATTTTTTTGAGTTGAGATTTTAACCTTTCAGGCATAAGTGACGTTCCTGCAGTAATTCTATAGAATATTGATAAGAATGCATCTAGAGTACTACAGACAATTTTGGTCATCTTATTTCAGGCAGAATGTACCTGAATTGGAAGCAGTTCAGCAAAGGCTCATTGAACTGATTCCTCAAATGGGGATTGTCCTATGAAGAAAGGTTGGGACTATAATCTTAGAAATTTAGAAAAATAAGAGATGATCTTAAGATTCTGAAGGGGCTGGATAGGGCACATGTTTAAAAAATGTTTCCTATTGTGGAGTCATTGAAAACTAAGGAATCACTGTTTTAAAAATAAGGGGTCTCCTATTTAAGATGAAGATGAGGAAGAATGTTTTTCTCTGAGGGCTATTACTCTTCGGAATTCTCTTCCGCAGAGCAGTGGAGACTGGGTCATTGAATATGTTCAAGGCTTAGATCTTTGATCAATGAGGGAATTGAGGGTTATGGAAAATGGACAGGAAAGTGGAGCCATAATCAGATAAACCATGATCTTATTGAACACTGGGGCAGAGGGAATGGCCTTCTCCCACTACTAATTCTTATGTGCAGGCTCTTTGCACATCTGCATGGCCTCCTTAGTTTTCTGTGAGACTTGCTATCCAGGCTCATGTAAAGAATGGCCAGTTTGACTCACTAATTGTTAATCTGCTAACATCCTAGCTGAGGTCTACAGAACAGCAAATGAGTTGCTCTATTTAACAAGGGAAATAACATTTATTAAATAGAGTAGTTTGATATCCAACTTCTTGGTTTTGTTTGAAAATATGAATACTTTTCCTACCTGATTGTGGCATAACTTTACTGTCTAGGGAACAGCACTTGTACAATACTGATCCACTATATTACTCAGATGAACGAATGCTTGTTACAGAAACCCAAGTGATACGAGAAATGTTGTGGTAAGTACCAGTCATTTGATACTCTGGAGAATTTTACAAATGTTTTAAACTTTGAATTTTTGCTAAGGGTTATAATTTTATTCATCTTGAATGCAAGACCTTATCTATATGCAAATAATTTGGGTTCACCTTGTAGAAATCTTTTCAGTAAACAGTCCCATTTTAAATGTTTTTACTTTTTGGCAGTTTCTTTGGTTTTTGGTAAGCGTACGACCAACCTGTCTGCTCTGTTCCATCTTTGTTTGGAAGGATCAATGTGAGTAAACACAGATTAGTTAATTTGAGAATTTGGTTGGTTTCTTCATATTTTAATGGTAGCCAAATGCTTTCTCCAAATACAACTCTTGAAGTGGAAAGCTGTGACTTAGTCCCTTATTGCTGTTAAACAGGTAGCCACAATGTCTTGGTTACTGTGCCCTTCTGTGTTTCAGATCCATGGCTAGCCCTGGTGAAGTTGGCAGGACATATTGAAAGAGTGATTAGCAAAGCGTAGGGAGCTTGGGCTTCATTAGTAGAAAGATTGCGTACAAAGGCAGGAGGTTTTGCTGAATCTATATAAAGCTCTAGTTAATCTCCAACTAGAGTATTGTTCACTGCTCTTCAGGAAAAATATGAAATCCTTAGAGGGGGTATACGGGAGATTTATCAGAAAGACTTGAGGTATGGGGAATTTATTTATGAGGTTAAATTGAAAAGGCTAGGGTTTTCCTTTAGTAAAGAAGATTGAGCAGAATTTTGATAAAGGTATACATGATGATCTCTGGCTTAGATAATGTAGACAAGGATTTTAAAAAACTTTGCCATATGCTGATTATACAAGGACTAGCAGAATCAGACTTAACATTTTGGGCAAGAGATGCAGGGGAAATGTGGGGAAGAACTTTTTTATGCAACTTGTGTTAACAACCTGGAACCCACTGCCCATGCTGGTGGTGGATGCAGAAACAATCAATGATTTCAAAAAGATTTTGGTTGTGCCCTTGAAGGAAATAAACTTGTGGACTACAGACACCAAGTGTTGGAGTGGGACTGGTTGGATTGCTCTCCAGGGATGTTGGCACAGACACTCTTAAGTTGAAATTTCCTAAGTGACTTTATAGCTCTAAAACTATTTTGATACTGGCAACATGCTGCTCTAGTTCGGGTGAAAACGAAAGGGGTAAAATACAATAAAATTCATAAACAGTTCAAATACAAGCTGCTAGAACTGGTTAACACCAGTATGTTTTCGCCATCTAGCTGGCACAACAGGGGTTAGAAGAAGAATGTGGATACTTGAGATGGAATAAGAGTTATGTAACGATGTGGTACAATTAATTGTGATTGTGTAATATAATGAGGTTGTTTATGTGTAGAACCAGGTAATTAGGTAGCTGTGCTAGTCCTGGACTATTGGAAATAGGATAATCTTCTGTTTCAGAACCACAGGTGCTATCACTGAGCTCAAGCTGATCCCTATGGCAAATGAGACTGAAGTTGCTAGCACTTAGAATGAATGGATAGCGGAGAAAAGAAAATAGCAAGAACTAAATATACTGAGGTATACGAAGCAAGACTCTCATAATAAAACCCAGAAAAGAACAAGCAGAAGTTATGAAAGTGTGGAGAAAATGGGTAACTAACAAACAAAACACCCTAGTTTCTCAGGGCGTTGCAGTGAGATCCAAGCCCATGGCACCAGTGGCTCACCTCCACACTGGGGTTGGTGCAACAAGGGTGCTGTTGTAATCATGGGTGATTTTTAATCTACATGTAGATTGGGCAAACCACATTAATAATGGTTAATAATGAGTTCTGAGGAAGGGTCACCGGACCCGAAACGTTAACTCTGTTTTCTCCTTCACAAATGCTACCAGACCTGCTGAGCTTTTCCAGCAACTTTGTTTTTGTTCCTGATTTACAGCATCCGCAGTTTTTTTGGTTTTTATTTGATTCACATTAATGATGATACTGTTGTGGATGAATTTCCGAAGGTGAAGAACTAAGTTAGGAAATAGGCCAGGTTTGATTTTGTGCAGTGAGCAGGGATTAATCCTATCTCCTGTTGACTTTTTTATTTCTTCCCCATTTATACCTGATGCTTTATATTGGTTTCAAAATTTCCAGTTTGTGGGCAGCAGCTGTCTCCTCTTCATCATGGACATGCAGTCCCTCTACATGTCCATCCCCATCAGCTGCTTCCTTGAAAAAGGGCCTGACTTGTCCCCATCCTCCTCCACTGCTTCACCCATCCTTACATTGAACAACTTTCCCTTTTAACTCCTCTCACTCTCTTCAGGTCAAAGGTGTGGCCATGTGCTGAGTTACGCCTGTCTCTTTGTGGGATATGTAGAACATTCCTTGTTCTAATCCTACTCAGGGCCCCACCCACATTTCTTTCTCTGCTGCTTACCCCACTCATTTGGAATTATAAAAATTTAACAATTTCACTTCTAATTTCCACCCTGTTCTTACCGTCACTTGGTTCATCTCTGACTCCTCCCTTCCCTTCCTTGAAATCTCTGTTTCCATTTCTGGGGGTAGGCTGGCCACCAATATCCAATACAAACCACCAACTCTCAAAGTTACCTCGACTATACATCCTCGTACCCTACTTTGTGTAAGAACGCCATCCCGTACTTCATTTTGTGCATCTCTGTCACTTCTGTTCTAATGGTGCCACCTTCTATAGGGTGGGTGGGGCGCTTTAGAAATGTCCACCTTTTTCCTCAACAGAGAATTCCCTGCTACTGTCGTTGACAGGGCCCTTAGCTATGTCCAGCCTATCTCATGCACTTCTGCCCTCACCCCTTCTCTTCCACAACAATGATAACGTGCCCCAATCGTCACTTATGCAAATGCTGCCAGACTTGCTGAGTTTTGCTAGCAATTTCTGTTTTTGTTTCCAATATCCAGATCCCAAAGCATTTGTAACAGCAAGATTATTAATTTAAACAGTGACAATAATATGATAGCATTTTTCATAGGGATAGAAAAGGAAGCAATCCAGTCTGAAACTAGGGCCCTGAATCTAAGCCATGGAAGCCATGAAGATAGAAGGTAGTGCTGCATAACAAAATATTAAGTAAGTTTCATTAGTGGAAAGAACTTGAACAATCTTATATTTGTCTGGGCTACCAAGAACTGCAGATGTTGGAGTCAGAGATAACAAAGTGTGGAGCTGGAGGAACACAACAGGCCAGGCAGCATCAGAGGAACAGAAAAGTTGACGTTTTGGGTTGGGACCGGTCCCGATCGAAACGTCAACTTCCTGCTCCTCTGATGCTGCCTGGCCTGCTGTGTTCCTCCAGCTCCATGCTTTGTTATATCTTATCTTATATTTGTCTGGCTTTTTTTTTAACAACCTCAGGATAACGCAATGCATTTTCCATTCAAAAAGTATTTTTGAAGTACAGTCATTGCTGTAGTGTAGGGAAGTACTGCAAAGTTGCACAAATAGCAATGATTGACCTAATGCAAAGAAAGCTGAGCTAGTTCTTGTTTCGTTTTGTGTAATCCTCAGACACTGAAGCAATCCATTTCCATGTGCAGCAAGATCTGGACAACATTCAGGCTTGGGCTTATAACGAACAAATAACATTCACACAACAGAAGTGCCAGGCCCAGAATAGGGGAATCCAAAACCACAGGGTATAGGTTTAAGGTGAGGGGGAAAGATTTAGAAGGGACCTGAGTGGCAACTTTTTCCACACACAGCTTGGTGCATTATGTAGGACGAGGTGCCAGAGGAAGTGGTAGAAGCAAGTACAATGACAACATCTAAAAGACATTTGGACAAGTACATGGATAAGAGGTTTTGAGGGATATGAGCCAGGAAACCTGGTTAGCATGGACGATTTGGGCTGAAAGGCTGTTTCTGTGCTGTATGACTCTATTGGTCAGTGGTCTATGATAGACTGGGTAACTGTTTAAAAAGCATGGTATTGGACAGACAAGGATTAATATTTAAGGAACAAACACATGCATTACAACAGTTATGCATTCCTTCTGATCAAAAGAAACAGCAGGAAAAATGGCTCAACTATGGCTGACAATTAAGAAAATTTAAGAAATTAAGGATAGTATTTGATCCAAAGAGAAGTCGTGTAAATTGCTAGAAAAAGTGGCAGCTTGAGGACTGGCAGCAGTTTAGAATTTAGCAAAGAAGGGCCAAGAGATTCTTGACGGGGAAGAAATAGAGTAAGAGAGTAAACATTCAAAAACATAAAGAAAAACAGATTGTAAAAGCTTCTATATGTTTGTAAAAAGGAAAAGATTAATGACAAAAAATGTAGGCCCCTTACTCTCTGAAATGGGAGAACTGAAAATGGAGAACAAGGAAATGGCAGAGCAATGAAACAAGAAATTTAGTTCTCTCTGCGCGGAAGAAGACACGAATAACTTCCCAGAAATGGAAGGGAAGCAGGGTTACTGTGAAGGATGTTAACATTAGTTGAAAAAAGAAGTGCCAGAGAAGTTAATGGGGCCAAAGCTAATAAATCCCTTGGCCCTGATAATCTACATCCCGGGGTACCAAAGATGCATTGTTGTCATCTCCCAAAATTCTGTAGATTCTGAAAGACTTGCAACAGATTGTAACTTTGCAATTGTAATCTCACTCATTTAAAAAATGAGGGAGGGAGAAATATGGGAAATACAGATTGGTTAGCCTAATATAAGTAGTAGGGTAGATGCTAGAATCGACAAAAGATGTGATAATGGGACGGTTAGAAAATATCAGTGAGGTTGCACAAAGTCAGCATGGATTTATGAAAGGGAAATTATATTTGACAAATCTATTGGAGGCTTTTAAGGATGTAACTAGTAGATTATTGGGGCAGAACCTGTGGATGAGGTGTGTTTTGGATTTTCAGAATATTTGCTTTCTATGAAGTCCTACATAAGAGATTAATGTGCAAAAAGCAAAGCATGTGATTTTTGGTGTGGATTAAGAATTAATAAGGGAAAAAATGGGGTGTTTTCGGAATGGAAGGTAGTGACAAATGGGGTACCGCAGTGATCAGTCTTTCAGCTTCAGCTATTCACAGTATATATCAATGATTTGGATGAGGAAATGAAATCTAATATTTCCAATTTTGTTGTGATGACGCAAAATTTAGATGGGATTTTGAATAGTGAAGAAGATGTAAAAGCCTTCAAGGCTATTTAGACAAGTTGAGTGAGTGGGCAAATGCACAGCAGTTGAATTATGGTATTGATAAGTGTGAATTTGTCCATTTTGGTAGAAAAAACAGAATGGAGTATTATTTGAATGGTGATAGGTCGGGAAAGGGGTTGCACAAAGGGACCATGGTGTCCTTGTATGCCAACCACTGAAAGCAAGCATGTAGTTACTGCAAAGCAGTTGGAAAGGCAAATGGTGTGTTGGCTTTCATTGCAAGAGGGTTTGAGTGCAGGAACCATGGATTCTTACTGCAGCCATACAGTGCCTTAGTGAGACCACGTTTGGAGTATGCTTTGCAGTTTTGACCTCCTTAAGTAAGAAAAGATCTATTTGGCATGGAGAAAGTACAGCGAATGTTCACCAGGCTGATTCCTGAGATGGCAGATTTATTGTATTAGGAGAGATTAGGTCATTTGGGCCTGTGTTTACTGGAATTTAGAAAAGTGAGAGGGTATCTCATTGGAACATATAAAATGATGACAGAATTCTGTCCAGACAAAGTGGAAGCAGGTTTGATGTCCCCTCCACCATCAGCACCACCCTCCCCACCCCTTTGGGGGTGTGGGGTGGGGGTGGCATATGCAGTCAGCAGTATCGGTTTGAGGTGACGAAGTACATCTTCGCTCAGAGGGTGGCCGATCACTTTGTGGAAGTCTCTACTACAGAAGGCCATGGTGCAGAAGTTACTGAACATATATTTAAGAAATAAATAGATTTCTAGTCTCTAAGGATGCCTGTGAATATGGGAAGAGAGTATGAGAATGGCATTGAAATAAAGGATCATTCCCATAGCACAGCAGGCTTCCTGGGCTGAATAGCCCTTCCTGTTTTCTCTGTTTAGCACACAGGGAGCAAAAAATAAGTAAATTTGTATAAGCACAAGAGAAAGTGTGTACAGCTTTGTAACAACTGAATTTTCACATTCCTAGTTTAGAGAATCTAATTTATTTGAACTTTTCACCATGAACTATCAATGGATTGTGCAAATTTTAATGTGGAAAATTTCTTTTTGCATGTAGGTTGTTGTCTGGAGTTAATAAACTTTTCATGTATACATTGCATGATGGAAAGATATCGGTGAGAACTGACATCATGGTTGCTCACCTGACCCAGGTATGTAATTCCCTTAAAGGGAATCTTGCTGGTTATTCATTGATTCAGAAGATTGTATTTCAAATCCCATTCAGTTGTAGGCTGACGCTTGAGTGGAATGTCCTGAGCGAAAGCTGTTCTGTTTGAAGGGCAGGTAAAACGTTAAATTGTGGCTCCATTTACTTAGATGGACATAGAAAAACAGGGAAGTTTTCTCTGGTGCCTTGGGCATTATTTATCTCTCAGTGAAAGTCACTTAAACAAACAATTTTGGTCATTTTCACATTGTTTTTTGTGGTAGCTATCAGTATACAAATCGACTGTTCCATTTCCCACAGTGCAAAAATTAATACACTTCAAAATATTTCATTGGCCGTAAGGCACTTTGAGATGACGAGTGAGGCATTATCTAAGTGCAAAGTCATCTTTATATCCAAATGTGATTATTTTGCTCAAATGAAAGCAAATTTCTGCAATGTGCTGACAATCTGAAACAAAAGCAGAAAGTGGTGGAGAAAGTCAGCAGGTCTGAGGACAGAGAAACAGAGTCAACGTTTCAGGTCTAGTATGACTCTCTGTTTCTCCATATATATGCTGCCAGACCTGCTATGTTTCTTTACCACTTCCTGTTTTCATTCCTATGATATCACTGTTCCTCATGCCATGTCAACAGCTGATAGACCAACCATGATAGTTATTTCCTTGTTTTGGAATCTTTTAGTGAGTGCTGAGAGAATTGATTTTTCAATTTGACATTTAACCACTATGTCTACACTTCCAATCCTCTTTATGTTGACTGTGGCAATAAATTAACAAGCCAGCCTTAATTCAGCCTGACAAAAACTCTAATCCAGAACAGTTCTCTAGTTCTGAGAAAAAAAATTTGCTTTAAAAAGTTAACTTTGTTAACCACTTTCCATAAACTTAAGCAGCAGACCTCTGGACGATCTTAAGTTGTAATTGCCACCAAGACTGTCTCACCTGTCATTGCTGTGCACAGGGACTAAATGGTTCCTGGTCAGACAACATCCTGATTTTAAAATTCTCATCTGACTTTTCAGATCTCTCCAAGGCCTTGCACTTCCTCATTGCTGTACTGTCCTCCAGGCCCACAACCCTAAAGATATCTGGCCTCCATTCATTCTGGTCCCTTGAACATCCCCAATTGTAATCAATTCACCACTGAGAGCTTCACATTCAGCTGCCTCAGCCCATTGCATTAGAATACCATGACTCCAGTTCTCCAACTCTGTACCTCGTTTTTCTCTTTTAAGAACCTACTGATTCGACCAAGCTTTTTATTACGGTAAAGGCACTACACAAATATAACTTACTGTAGTTGGTGTTGTTGCTCTTCCAGTCATAAATATCAGAGTCCACCACTATATTGAAGAATAAACTCAAACTTTGTCGTATTTGTCTATATGATTTAGCAAGTGTCTAATTTTATAATGTTTGCAGTTTCAATGCCTCATCATGTCAATGCATCTCAAAGCTTTTGAAATGCAATGAATTATAAGGTAAATGTCCTGTGTGAACCATTTAGACTTAGTATCTTATTATTTTTGCATTATTGAAGATTGAAGAACTAATGCTATTATTTGGTGGAAATGCATTCTAACATGTTATTAATTCATTCATAGGATGTGACTTCGTTGGGTCAGCATTTAAGGCCCTTCCCTAAGTGCCCTTGAGAAAGTAGTGGTGAGCTGCATTCTTAAACCGCTGCAGTCCATTTGCTATAGGGACCCCAAAATTAGTGTTAGGAAGGAAATTCCAGGATTTTGACACAGCAACACCGAAGAGTTAAAGATATTAGGATTACCACTCGTTTATTTAGTTGACAGTCAAGTCCAAAATACAAAGTCTAATCAACTCCATTATAATTCTGGTTTCATTTCTCATTTGCTGTAGTTTAATTTTGTTACCCTACGGATTTTGGATAACTAAGGTGTTCAGTATGTCTAACGATGTATTGTGTGTCAGTAGTAGTCTCCTGGAAATTGTTTGTTTACCTTGTGGGATTGAAAGAAATATTCCAGCATTTTGCTGATGTCTGAGGTTTTTTGTGTTGGTTTTGTCTCCCTTCCAATTACTTATAATTGACCAGGCATGATCTTATCAAACAGCAGAGCAAGTTCAAGGGGGAAATGGCCTACTACTCCATATTCATTTGTTCATATCCGGTTACCCCATCCAATAGATTGAGGGAACAATTTTTATGTTTTTGTGTCTTTGTGTTAGTAGGATGTTTTCACTATAAAATGTACTTTCTCTGGTTACATTAATCTTCTGTTTACTTATGACAACAGATTATTGCTTAATTTTGAGATTTTTCTGAATGCGTATTTGTTCCAATAGCTCAAGTTGCCTAAGCGTTCCTTTAGCCAAATAGATGGAGTGGTGGAAGTCTGCTTAAATATGATGTTCCTGTCTTGAGTTTGCTGCTGATGCATTAGCAAATTGAAACAAGTGTGATCAGCAAATATGGTGGTTGAGGTTATGTGCTTCCTCCGGTCAGTGGGCTAAACTATTTTCCCTTTTCTGTAGAGTTGCCTGAGAGCAGTATTGGAGCAGATAGCAGCATATGGGCAAGTTGTGTTCAGACTGCAAAAGTTCATGGATGAGGTTATTGGACACAGCTCTGAAAGTAGCTCACTTGGAACCTTACCTGCTTCTAAAAAGTTTAATGAACCCCCTTTTCGGACATACCAGTCTTTTGTGTGGGCCCTGCATAAATACTTTCTAAGCTTCAAGGAGGAACTTGTCAACATTGAAAAGTGTATGATAACTAAAGGTATTTGATGTGTTGACATTCTGTTAAGACTTCCACTGTCTGATTTCTTTTTACAGATTTGTGTTGTTACATTATTATCCTAACACATTCTGAGCATTTTTGTGAAAGGCACAGTAATCATGGATATAGGATGTTGTTTCAATGTTTTGTAATGCACACTTATCAGAATTGAAAGGACTGTCGGAGATGACCATTAGCCCAACAAACATCCCTCAGTAGACACACGGGAGCAGGAAAAATGTTAGACAAATTGTGCTTTATTATATAAAAACGTGACTGATTTCCCACAATCTAATGTAAGCATTAGCAGTCTTGCTTTGGTAGGTGACAATTTACACTCGCACTACAATGTGCAAGTTGCACAGATCCAGGGAATTAAATTTCCGTAATGTCAAATTCTATGTGTGAATTTTGGCACTGGTATTCTGATGACTCCGGTATTGTTGATGCTGTTTTATGCGCAGCTACAAAATTTAACAACCAATTTCTTTTCCTTTCCACACAACGCTTTGACACTTCTGTGTTATTTCATTTGGCAAACAAGTATTATGAGAGACAACAGGGATGCTTGGTGTTCTGGGACTGCACACCTTAGCAGTCTATCTAATATTAAGGAGGTTGACAATAGAGAAAATTGTAGTTCAATTTTTGGACTCGTGGCATTTCTACATTTTCCTGCATAAGGGAGCTGGCTAAACTATTGCTTTATCAATGAAGATTTCAGCATGGTCATTCAATAGTGCTCTGCGGCAAGTTGCTTATGCATGCATTGCCTGGGCTGTGCATAATGCTTTCATACATGAGTCTATCAGTCATTTGTGTTTGGTACAAAAATGCATCACTAATATCGCTTAGTGTTGAGTATTAACATAATTTATCAGGGTGTCCAAATCCTTTTCTGCAGATTATTTGGGTCTTGTAGCAAATACTGCAAGTAAGTATTCATTTCTTGCTTGGTAGGGTTTGGTTTACTAACTTCACTAACTAAAAGCTTCTACAATATTTTCTTACATTTGTTACTGACAACTTTTTTTTAAATTTTAAGATGAGACAGTGACCCTGGCTGCAGTACTTGAGAAACTGGCTCCTCGATTGTCTCAACTTAAGATACTTCACAAAGTATTCAGTACAGGAATAGCAGAGGTTCCACCTGACACTCCAAATGTAATCAGGGCATCGCACCTGTTGAATACTCTGTATAAAGCTATTATTGAGTATGACAGTGTGGGAGAAGCTTCTGAGCAGACAGTGAGTACATCTTTTATATATCAAGACTAAGAATCAAATTTCTGTGTGTAGGACTGATGTATTGAGTGAAAATCTATTTTCTGCTATTTCTATTGAAAGGCTAAATGTTTGCGTAATTATGTTTGTGTCCTTTTTTAAAAGTGTTTCACTCATTATGTAACTGGGGTTACAGCATGGTTTTTACAGCACATCTACAAGTTGATTTTCTTTGCTATGAGCAATGTTCCCACTGAGCTATGTGGTTAGTTTCTGTGCAGGCCACATGCAGTCCCCCTCTAAGTTGCAACATGTGAATGGCTGCACAAAAGAATTTAAAGGTCCTACACGCTTAAATGACTTGGACAGTACTACAAGGAAATGTATTTGCTACACTGTTAATGAGCTTATGCAGCAGATTATCTGAATTACCTTTCCCCTTCCACAGAATTGCATTTCGAAAAGACTTCATTTGATGTTTATCAAAAGATAGTGATTCAGTGCATCACTTAGCTCACTTCTTCTTTTCCTGCCTGCCCCCTCACTTCTGATAAGGAATCCTTTGTACCACCTTAGCATCAGGAAACTTGTTTTGCTAATTTGCGTGGCATCTTATTTATAATGAGGATGTTGTCTTTGTGAAAAATTGCAACAAAATAACAATGAGATGATTTCTAAGCTTCCCTTCCTAAACCTTTCTGCCTCTTCACCCCTCTGTTCCTATAAAACATTTCCTAATACTTGCCCTTTGATTAACATTTTGGTTTCATGTTCCAGTATCTCTTTATATGACTCGGTGCCTGCTCCTGTGAAGAACTTTGGGATATCTTATGACATTAAAAATCGTAAGGGTGATGGCATGTGATTATGAAACTGGCAGAGGCCTGGCCTTTTGCTCTGGGAACATGACCAGGGAATTTGAATTCAGTAAATAAAACCTGGAATTGAAAGCTAGTCTCCTTAATCATGATCATAATAATATTATTGTAAAATGAATATCCTTTTAGGGAAGGAAATCTGTCATCCTTGCTTTGTCTGCCTTAGATGTGACTCCAGACCCATATCAACATGGTTAGCTATTGACTACTCTGTGAAATTGCCTTGCAAGTGAGTCAATTTAAAGATGGGCAACAAATGCTGGCCTTGCCAGAAAACCCCCACATTCCACAAAAGAACACAATACATGTATTTTAACAGTTCAGTTTATTAAATTAATTCAAAACTTTGTTTATGGTCAGATAAAAGCAAAATATTGAGCATGTTAGAGATCTGAAATTAAAACAGAAAATGCTTGCAAAGCTGAACATGTCTGGAAGCATCTATGTTGAAAGAGACAGTTAACATTGAGTCTGACATGACAGTTCTTCTGAATTTGTCAGTTCTGAAGAAATCTGATCAGATTCAACACAAACTCTCTTCTCGCCACAGGTCCTGCTGGACCTGCTGAGTTTTTCCAGCATTTTCTGATTTATTTCACTGTGTATGACTGTTTTCACATATTTCATTTTGTTTTGTAATGTTAATAATGTTACAAATAAAAATGTTAATGTAAGGTTACACAAACACATGTTGATGAAATTTAATGCTCTCGAGTGATCAGGTAACTGTTGTGAGTTGGACACCGGTTTATTGGTACATTTCAGTTTCAGTTGAGGCATTAGTGAACAGTAGCAAATTTAAACTTAAGATTGAGTTAGCAATGCCGCCTCATGGGCAGTTACAAGGGTTTAATGGTGAGTGATTTTTGGCAGGGTGACCAATGTGTTCTGTTGTTTATTAGACAGAAATGATGGAAAAGATAGTGATATGAAATGGTGTCATTCAGTGGTAAAAATCTTCATAAGGCACCTTGGCCAAGTGACTGGGGGAGAAAGACGTTGATTTCCATTTTGATGGGAATAGAGTGAGGGCCATAATAATTAATTGTGAGGCTAACAGTTTGTACTTTCAGATTAAAGTATCTTTATTTCCCTCTTTCCACAGGTATCACTTCTCTTTTCTCTATGGGTAGAAACTGTAAGGCCATATCTGGAAATTGTGGATGAGTGGATAGTACATGGAAATTTGTCTGACCCTGCTAAAGAATTCATTATTCAAAGGTAGTATACTGTCAAAAGTATGAATTGCTTTTGATTACTTGACTGTTCTTAAGACGCTGTGTGGTATTTTATTAGTGAAGGTGAATGGCTTAGCTTTTTTGGCTGATAATTATGCTATCAAGTGTGCTACTAAATTAAATGGGCATTTTGATTAGTTCCCAGTCAGTGCTGAACTAGCTAATCTCAGTATCCATATTTGTATAAGAGAAGGGAAAAGTCTGTTTTTAAAAAACATTGTCGAGCAGAGCTGTAATGGTAAGATAGTATATCTCAATATGGGTAGATGATGAAATTGCTACATTGTCCTCTGCATCATGGTTTAGAACAGAAAAGTCTTCCAGAATTTGTGCTTCTGATCGCTGCCTGCTAAGCTTTGTTAGAAGTATATGTGGATATCAGCTGAAGATAACATTGGGTCTCACTGTGATTAGCACACAGTTGAATAGCGACAGAACTCATGCTTTTAAAATAGGCTGTTAGGAACCTTTGCGTCTTGGTAATGACTCCAGCAAGAAATTCATCCTTTAATAGGCTGGTGTAAGTTGCCCCTACTCCAGTTTATAGTTTTCAAATAGCTGTTTCTTTTGATGGCTTGGTGAGTAGTTGAGTCAATTGATCAAGCAGGTCTTCTCATGAACATACAAAATAGGAGCAGAAATAGACTATTCAGCCCCTCAAGCCTGTCCCACTATTCAATAAGATCATGGCTGCACTGGTTGTGTTTCCAATTCTTAATTCCCATTTACCCCCATAACCCTCGATTACCTTGCCTCATAAGAATTTATCCACCTCTGCATTCAAGATGTTCAATGATACTGCCTTCTGCGGCAGAGTGTTTCGAATTCGCACAACTTTGAGAGAAAAACATTTGGACAACCCTTAATTTTGCAACAGTTGCCCCTAGTTCTGGACTCACCCACAAGAGAAAATATATTTTACATGTTCACCTTGTCAAGACAATTCAACATCTTGTTCATTTCAGCCATGTCACCCCTCACTCTTCTAAGATCCAGTCCCAGCCTGTCCAACATACCTCAAGACAGCCTGCTCATTCCAGGATTACTCTTGGACTCCAGGATCCACCATTGATTGCTGTAGTGACAATGAAGAGGATTTGGGTGGTGGAACATATTTTATCAGAATTGACACCTTTGATTATTTTTTATTACATTGTTTCCTCTGCCACACCTCTATCTGAAAAGGCAATTTATCAGGTCCATAGCAGGCCAACCAGCATCAGAGGAACAGGGAAGATGACGTTTCGGGTCAGGACCTTTCTTCAGAAATGGGGGAGGGGTAGGGGGCTCTGAAATAAATAGAGAGAGGAGGGGTGGGGCTGGGGAAGGTAGGTGGGGTGGTGATAGGTGAGTGCAGGTAGGCAATGGTGGGGGTTGATCAGTGAGGTGGGAGGAGCGGATAGGTGGGAGAGAAGACAGACAGGTCAAGGAGGCGGGGTTGAGAGGGAGGGTTGGTTATGGTATGAGGTCGGGGGTGGGGAGATTTTGAAACTGGTAAGGTCCACATTGAGACCATTGGGTTGTAGGCTCCCAAGGTGGAATATGAGGTGCTCCTCCTCCAGTTTCCGGATACTGGAGGAGCATCCCATGACCAACCCTCCCACTCAACCCCACTTCCTTGACCTGTCCGCCTTCTCCCAACTATCCGCTCCTCCCACCTCGCTGACCAACCCCCACCGTTGCCTACCTGCACTCACCTATCGCCATCCCATCTACCTCTCATCCCTGCCTCCTTGACCTGTCCGTCTTCTCTCCCACCTATCCTCTCCTCCCACCTCACCATTGCCTACCTGAACTCACCTATCACCACCCCACCTACCTTCCCCAGCCTCACCCCTCCTCTCTGTCTTTATTTCAGAGCCCCCTACCCCTCCCCCATTTCTGAAGAAAGGTCCTGACCCGAAACGTCAGCTTTACTGTTCCTCTGATGCTGGTTGGCCTGCTGTGTTCCTCCAGCTCCACACTGAGTTATCTCAGACTCCAGCGTCGGCAGCTCTTCCTATCTCTAATTTATCAGGTCTAAATAGGTTTTTGATAACTCCTGCAACTGAATTGTTGTCAAATCATTCATTGACAGACTTATTGTGATTGAGACTTACGTAATATCTATTTGGCCAAGATATTGGAAGGTGACTGTCTATTAGCAAATTACATTTCAGCCAGGATTCATTAGTTTCACAAATGTATCTAGATGATTTGAATTTAAACACGGTGTTGAAATTTGTTTGTGATAGGCAGGCATAAAAGTAGAGAGATTGGCAGCCATTGAAGATTGTAAAAGATATAGACCAGATAGTAGAGTGACAGATAAGGTAATGTATTTTGAAAAGAAAAGTGAGGAATTGAAAATGGCTTGGAAAGAAGTTGAAAGGAGTTCGTGAATAACAGCATCAAGATTGTCAAATATCTGGTATCAGCCTGATTAATCTCTATGGGCTGCCTCCAATGCTCGAATATCTTTCTTTGGCTAAGGGACCCAAAATTGTTCACAGTATTTTAGATGTGGGCTGACACATGCCTCAATAGTTTTAGCAAAACCGCCCCACTTTTATACTCCATTCCCTTTGAAATGATGACTAACATTCCATTTCCCTTGCCTATTACCCACTGAATTTGGATGCTAGGATTTTGTGATTCATCGATGATAACTCCAAAATATCTCTGTTCTGTAGCTTTCTGCAGTTCTTTTTCTATTTAAATAATACTAAGCATTAGATTAATTTTGGGTAAGCCAGATTTTCTGGATTTAACAGCTTCATTGTTTTCTGTAATTTTTGTAGTTCTAAATTAAAATCATCTGAGGCATTGAGAATGCAATTCCAGTTTGTGGCATTTGACCAGTGTGTCAATTCTTGCTGGGAAATTACATGTTAAGTAGTGCTACGGCCAATTGCAGAATGTTCACTGAAAGATGATGGCGTTATAATGAGGGATAAATAGATGGGAGCAGGGTTATTGCCTCTTATTATTTGACAGATTGGGTAAGCAGCAGGATTCAAATAATATTGCAGGAGATCTTAAATATTTATACTAATTACAAATATCATAAAGAGCCAGTTCAGCACTGGAGCTATGCCTGTAAAACTCTAAGTCAGTGATTTTCTACTTTATTCACATTGTTGTTTTGCGTGCTAGGAACAAGGATGTCCCAGTGAATCACAGGGATTTCTGGCATTCTACATGTACATTATACAGCATATCTGAAAAAACTGGAGTTGATGAAAATGTAGGTGACGGTGCAGGCAGCAGTTGCAGCATGGATCAGGAAAATTCCAGTAAACAGCACACAATGGTCTCCTTTCTGAAACCAGTGCTAAAGCAAATTATTATGGCTGGCAAATCAATGCAGCTGCTTCAGAATCTGGAAAGCAAAGACAATCCAGGCCATCCAGTGCAAAACACTCACCGAGGTAAAGGAAGTAACTGTATTGATATAATAGTGATCCTATGAATAAATTTTTTGCCCAAGTTTCATTTACAATCATTTCAGAATTTCAGTTTACCATTTGGAGAACTTGTGAAATTCAACTTTTTAAATAATGCTACATATTACATTAACCAATATTGTAATGTTGCCTCTTAGTATGTTACTTCAATTGAAATCATACTGTGGTTACTGCATATATTTTCTATGTGAATCATCTGCATTCTCACATGATCTCTTGGGCAGCAATTGATCAATGTACAGAAACAATTTACCTTCTAAACTCTGTCTGATAAGCAAAATCTATCTTGTGCTTGACCCAAAATTAGGTGGTTTAAAATTAGGGTTAAGATCAAGGAAAATGCACCAACTTCTAAAAATGTTTTCCACAGGATTTTTGAAAGCATTCTACAGCCAACGAGGTACTTTTGAAATGCAGTCACTTTTGTCAGAGCTGATTGTGTTAACATTGAATCATGCCTGATGCATAAAATTATCAGAACCTCAACCTCATCTTGAGGTATTTGATACTGTTTCTGCTTTTAAAAATGATGTGGTTCCTGCACGGAGTATCAGGAGAATTGAAATTACCGTACTGGCCTGTCATTAATAATTTGTCGCTTTAATAGTACAAGTTATTCTTCTCTTTCCAAATTAGATTAATTAGAATCCTATTCACAATTACAATGTATTGTGTACTCCTAAGCATTAATTTATTCTCTTGGTGCCCATTAATAACACTTCAAGAATAAGTTACAATTCTTTAAACAGACCTTCACATCTCAGTTTTGTTTTTCACTCCTACTTAGCTGCTTCCCTCATGACAAATAACACTAACGATTCTGTAGTAGGAGGTTGTTACTGTGAATAGTGCACAGAGCTATCTAAATTTGTGCTTTTTTTGCTGTCTGTTGCAGCACAGGGCTGTACTAATTAGGATGCTAGCCATCAGCAGTTTTGTTCTTATTCTCTGATCATGCATCACTTAAATCCTTTGTTAGCTGCTAAGTACCATCCCTTGCACAGTATACAATAAAAAAATGCCTTTTGCCCCTGTTGTACAAGACAAAAATTGAAATGTTTAAAAATATTATTAGCATAAAGCTTCACAGTTGAGATTAGCCTTATATTTTGGTGATCTGTTAATCAGATCACACACATACCATTGCTTGGGTCTGCATTACTGCAGCAAAATAATATTTGTCTTTGACGAGGGAGATATTTAGTTCAAGTACCACTTCAAACAGCCATGGCGAGAGGACACAAGGGTTGCAGTCACTGTCTACTGGGTTACTATCCAGCAGTGTTCTTCGGTCTGATAGGAGTGGAATGCTCCACCATTTGTAGCCTCCGAGAACTGGAGATCAGATCTATAATTAATCTAGTATCTATAATTAATATCAGCAATTTATTTGATGTGTGGCTAATTTGCAGTCCTAGCTTTATATCCAAAAGGCAAGTTGGTAATCTGCTACTCTGTTTAAAAACAGTTTGTAAATTATTAATTTGTGACTTATTATTCTGGCTATTTCTGTTAAAAACCGCACTATGAAAACGTGAAAACATCCAATGATTCCCCTGTTCATGGTTTGATTATAAACTTAGCAGTATAAACCTAAAATTGAGGTCTGAGTATAAATTCTGCCACTCTTGAAGACTGAAGTAAGATTTTATGCAACAAGAGCTTCATCCCTACTTAAAAGCAAGTAAAAGTGGGGTTTGTATTCATCTTCTGGATGATGGACTGTTAAGGTTTAAACAGTTGGGATCCATCCATGTGAGTGATCAAAGGCAGAAGAGCCAGTGTAACCTAGAATAAAAAGTTAAAAATGGTCACAAAAGTAACAGACCCCTGTGTCCAGTTCAATGCTGAACCAATGGGTCAGGCAATTCAGTGAAGATGATGGCCTAGTGATGTTATCGCTAGACTATTAATCCAGATAATCCCAGGTAATGTTCTGTGGACCCGAGTTCAAATCCTGCCACGGCAGATTGTGGAATTTGAATTCAATTTTAAAAACGTGGAATTAAGAATCTTCTGATGACCGCAAAATCATTGCCAATTGTCGGAAAAACCCCTCTATTCCACTAATATCTTCAGGGAAAGAAATCTGCCATCCACACCTGGTCTGGCCTATGTGTGAGTCCAGAACCACAGGAATGTGGTTGCCGTCTAAAATAGCCTAGCAAGCCATGTACCAATCGCTACAAAGTCTCAAAGAAATGAAACCAGACAGATCATCTGGCATCGACCTAGGCATCCCCAGAAAAGACACCAGAAACAGCCCTGTCAATCCTGCAACGTCCTCCTTACTAATATCTGGGAGCTAGTTCCAAAACTGGGACAGCTGTCTCACGGACTAGTAAAGCAACAGCCTGACATAGTCATACTCACAGAACTATAGCTTGCAGACAATATCCCAGCCATCACCATTACCATCCCTGAATGTCCTATCCCACCGGCAGGACAGACCCAGCAGAGGTGGCGGCAGAGTAGTGTACAATCAGGACGGAGCTGCCCTGGGAGACCTCAACATTGACTCTGGACCCCATGAAATCTCATGGATTCAGGTTAAACAGGGCCAACGAAACCTCCTGCTGATTACCACATACCGTCCTCCCTCAGCTGATGAATTGGTACTCCTCCATGTTAAACAACACTTGAAAGAAGCTCTGAAGATGGCAAGAGCACAAAATATACTCTGGCTGGGGAATTTCAATGTCTCGTACTACAGATCGAGCTGGCTGGGTCCTAAAGGACATAGCTGCTAGACTAGGTCTGTGGAAGGTGGTGAGAGAACTAAGAGGAGGGAAAAACATACATGACCTCATCCTTATCAATCTGCAACCTGCAGATGCATCTGTCCATGACAGTAACAGTAGGAGTGACCACCACACAGTCCTTGTGTAGACGAAGTCCCGCCTTCACATTGAGAATAACCTCCATTGTGTTGGGCGGCACTATCACCGTGCTAAATGAGATAGACTTCAAACAGATCTCGCAAGTCAACACTGGGCATCCATGAGGTGCTGTGAGCCATCAACAGCAGCAGAATTGTATCCAGCACAATCTGTAACCTCGTGGCCCAGCATATTCCCCCACTCAGCCATTACCATCAAGCCAGGGGATTAACTCTGGTTCAATGGAGAGTGCAGGAGGACATGGTGCAGCACCAGGCATACCTGAAGATGAGGTGTCAACCTGGTGAAGCCACCAAACAGGACTACTTGCAAGCCAAAAAGCGAAAACAGCAAGTGATAGACAGAACTAAGCAATCCCACAACTAACAGATCAGATCACAGCTCTGCAGACCTGCCACATCCAGTTGTGAATGATGGTGCATGATTGAACAACTGACTGGAGGAGAAGTCTCCACAAATATCCCCATCCTCAATGATGGAAGAGCCCAGTACATCGGTGCAAAAGATAAGGCTGCAGCATTTGCAGCAATCTTCAGCCAGAAGTGTCAGGTGCATGATCCATCTTGGCCTCCTGCAGCGGTCCCCAGCATTACAGATACCAGTCAGCAAATTCGATTCACTCTGTGATATCAAGAAACAGTTGGACGCATTGGATTCTGCAAAAGTTATGAGCCTTGACAATATTCTGGCAATAGTGCTGAAGACTTGTCCTCCAGAACTTGCCGTTCCCTGAGCCAAGCTCTTCCAGTACACCTCATGAGTCCCCAGAGCCTATCACCATCTACAAGGCACAAGTCAGGAGTGTGATGGAATACTCTCCACTTGCTTTGATGATGCAGCCCCACAACACTCAAGAAGCTTGACACCATCCAGGAGAAAGCAGTCACCTTGATTGGCACTACATCCACAAGTATCCACACCCTTCACCACTGATGCTCAGTAGCAGCAGTGTGTACTATCTACAAGATGCACTGCAGAAATTCACCGAAGATCCTCAGCAGCTTCCAAACCCATGACCACTTCCATCTAGAAAGACAAGATTCATGGGAACACTGCCACCTTCACGTTCTCCTTCGAGCCACTCATCATACTGACTTGGAAATATATTGTCGTTCCTTCACTGTCGCTGGGTCAAAATCCTGGAATTCCTTCTCTCAAAGCATTGTGGGTCAGCCTACAGCATATGGACTGTGGTGGTTCAAAAAGGCAGCTCACCACCACCTTCTCAAGGGCAACTAAGGATGGGCAATACATGCTGGCCAGCCAGCGACAACCACACCCCACAAATGAATAAATAAAAATAATTCGCTTAGTTTTTTATAGGCTTTGAAGTGGCAATTTAGGGACCAAGCTAAAGAACTAGATGACACTAATGTGTCTGTTCCCTTTTTGTCTATAAAATCTCCCTCTGTGTCTTTTAAATTGGTGGCCAATTTTCCAAATAAAGTTTATAAAGATGGAAAATATTGAAACTGTAGACATTTTCAGAATATGTGCTTGGACTAATTTTTGAATGACTTCCAAATTCATCCTGAGTTAATTATTAACATTAACTTGTTGGGGCAGGTAGGAGTTAAAAATTAAAACCAGGAAATGCTCCAACAACTTGCCCACTTTTTAATGGAGGCTGGTGACTGACTCACTTTCAGGGTCTCTCACTGAAATATTTTTTAAAAGGCTGTAGGTCTTCATTTTAATTTGAGTTTTATTTCTATCAATTATTGTCTGGAATTCCCAACTCTTTTGAATCCTGGACGATAAAAGGAGGAAAGCAGGATTGGACTGATGAGGGAAGTGATTTTATTGCATTGCTTGCACATAGATGAACCGGGAGTTCTGCCCCAGCCCACCAAGCTTACCTTTTCAATCACACCACAATAGAATCCACACAATAGGCCAATTCTTCGTTCATGTTTGATGCCACACTTAACTGCTGCAAACTCAGAGAGACATTACTCCACTAAACACTTGCCATCTCTAACAATATAAGGCTCCAATTATCCATAAAATATCCCATACAACCCTAGTAGTGAGTTCTGACTTGCCTAACATCCCTTGCTGACTGTTTCTAATCTAGCTGCCAGCTAGCTGGTGAAACTGCCTGGCAGTCAGACAGGAAATGTGTTCAAAAAGATTTAACACTACCCCTGCCATTAAATTCTCTAGAACCCACAAGCAGTCCATTCTTCTGCATTTTCCAGTCTTCCTCTGTGCTCCCTGCAGCACTAAGATGTAGATCTATTGCACCAAAACTCTGAATTGTTGTTCTTCATAAAGACTGATCATTTGACATTGTGTTATCATTCTTGATTTGACTACAGATGCAGAAAGAAAGAGCTTATATGCACTATTCCTTGAGTCACTTCAGTCCCGTCTTCGGTACAGAGAGGAGACTGAGTCCTGTGAACATACTGTTCCGGAGCAACAAGCTACTAAAGAAAGCCTGATCAAAGTGCAGTCTATTGTGGCTCGGCATCTTGAACTTGAAGATATTCATGATCCTTTATTAGCTATAAATTTTGCAAGGTGACTGAAATGAAATGAAAATATGTTCAGTTTTTATAATATTACTGAGTTCTAGTGTAGATTTCTGACCACAGACTAATCAAATATTTTTTGGGATTTTGTTTTGATGAAATGTTATACTTAGTGTTTATGGATGTTGGTATTCAGGAATGGGACACATTGTGTTTGGGCATTCATTGTGAGCATCAACTGTTCCTGAATCTGTTGTAGCATAATTGGAACAAGAGTAAAACATCCTCCACTGTGCCTTAGCAGTGCTCCAAATTCCATCACTATAATGTTTAAGAATTTTATTGTTGAGAGTTCATCTTTACCAGCAAATAAGGCATAAATAGAATCAGAGAGTCATACAGCATGGAAACAGACCCTGGACGATTTACACGATCCATGTCCCTCATGATGTTATAAACCTCGATAAGGTCACCATTAGGGAGGCGATGGCTTTAGAGGTATTATCACTGGACTGTTCTTCTAGAGACCCACATAATGTTCTGGGAACCCACGTTCGAACCCCGCCACAGCAGATGGTGGAATTTGAATTCAATAAATATCTGGAATTAAGATGCTAATGATGGCTATGAATCCATTATTGATTGTTAGAAAAACCTATCTGGTTCACTAATGTCCTTCAGGGAAGGAAATTGCCATCCTTGCCTGGTTTGGCCTACATGTGACTCCAGACCCACAGAAATGTGGTTGACTTTGAACTGCCCTCTGGGCAATTAGGGATGAGCATTAAATGCTGCTTGGCCAGTGACGCCCCTCATCCAATGAATGAATTTTAAAAAACCCTCGGCCTGCAATGCTCCAGAGAAAAGCCCCTGCCTAATCAGTCCCTCCCTATAACTCAAACTCTCCAGTCCTAGCAACGTCCTTAGAAATTTTTTCTGCACCCTCTCAAGTTGAACAACATCCCTCAAAGAGAAGGGCGACTGGAATTGTATGCAGTATTCTAGGAATGGCCTCACCAATGTCTTGTAGGGCTGCAACATGATATCGCAACTCTTGTACTCCGTGTTCTGACCAATGAATGCAAGCGTGCCAAATGCCTCCTTCACCACCCTGTCTACTAGCAATTGCGCTTTCAAGGAATTATGCACCTACACCCCTTTGCTCGGCAACACTCTCCAGGGCCCTACTATTAATTGTATTAATCCTGCCCTGGTTTGCCTTAACAATAAGTAAAACCTCACATTTATCTAAATTAAACTCTATCTGTCACACCTCAGCCCATTGGCCCATTTTGTCAATATCCTGTTGTACTCTGTTATGCGTCAGTCACACACAGGCCAGATTTTGGACCATTCCCAGGGTACTATGTACGATTGCGGGCCCCACATCTTGGATATATTAACCTTGAAGGGAGAACAGCATGGATTATCATAAGAGAATGATACTTCGACTCCAAAGGTTAAATGGCAAGGAGAGAACACACAAGTAGGATTGTAGTCTCTGGAACCCTCCACCACCACCCTCTGTCTCCTACTGTCAAGCCAATTTTGTATCCGGTTGGCAAGCCCTCCCTGAATCCAATGTGATCTAACATTACTAATTAGTAACCTTGTTAACTGCTTTACTGGAATCCATGTAATCAACATTCTACTGCTCTGCCCTCATCAATCTTTTTGGATTTTTTTTCAAAAAACTCAATCAAGTTTGTGAGACATGATTTCCCTCTCACAAAGCCATGCTGACTATCCTTAATCAGTTCTTGCCTCTCCCAATGCATGTAAATCCTATCTTACAGAATCACCTCCAACAACTTACCCACCACCAATGTCAAACTCACTGGTTTATAGTTCCCAGGCTTCTCCTTACAGCCTTTCTTAAATAAAGGCACAACATTAGCCACCCTTCAGGCCTCCGGCACCTCACTTGTGATTATAGATGATACAAATATCTCTGCTAGGGGCCCCACAATCTGTTCCCTAACTTCCTACAACGCCCTGGTATACACTTGATCAGGTCCCCGAGATTTGTCCACCTTTATGTTTTCTAAGACCTCCAGCATTCCCTCTTCTGTATTGTGAATTGTTTTCAAAACAATATTTATTTCCCCGGGTTCTCTAATCTCCATTCCTTTTCTCCACAGTAAAAACTGACACAAAATATTCATTTAACAGCCCTCCATTCCTCCTGCAAAGTATGGTAGAAGTTTAGAACTCTTTACCACAGACGGCAACCAATTCTAAATCGTTGTTAATTATAAAATTAAAACTAATAGATGTTTGTTAGCCAAAGGAATAAAGAGATCTGAAGAAAAGGTGTGAATGTAGGGGATTGGTAGTATAATAATAATGGTAATGGACTAATAATCCATGGACCTAGACTAATGTTGCAGAGGCACAAGTTCAAGTCTCACTAAGACCGTGAGAGGAATTTAAATTTACTGATGTCGTTGGACAAGGAAATGTGTTTGTGACTGCAGATCCACGGCAAAGTAGCTAGTTCTTAAATGCTCTAGCAAGCCGCACAGTTTGTAGATAGCTCTTCACCTGCTCAAGGGCAATTAGCAAAGGGAAATTAATGCTGGCCTTGATGGCGATGCTCATGTTCCAATAAAATATTTCATTAAAAACGTAAATTAAGATCAGTTATTATCCCACTAAATGGTGGAATAAGCTCAAGGGGCTAAATTGTCTACTGTTCCTATCTTCCTATAACTGAACTGAAGTAGCATAGCAATTTTCCCTTTCAGCATGCTGCACTTTTACACTTTTTTTTTGTGCAACTATAAATATGTGTTATTTATCCCAGAACAAGACGTGCGTGGTATCTGCCCAAATGCTGTGCTGCCATGCGGCTTAGCTGCTGCATTGTTTTCTAGACTTATTTTTATCAAGCTTCCTTTCTAACCAGTGGTCACTGGAGACGTTCAACCTATTTATCTGGCTCTGATTTAAGTCTGTGGCCTAGAAGTGAAAAGCACCTCCTATTCTGCGACATAGATGTTTTAATGGTGAAAATTTAATGTGAGAAATTGTTGGCAGTAAGATCGTTTCAGTTTGTATTTTGACTGCTATCAGCAACCCATAATTAGGGTGAGCTTTAAAGCCATTAAAAAGGGTAGTGGGTATCTCCTCAGTATTGACTCAGTAAAACAATATCTTTAAAACACTAGTTCTTGGAATCAACTAAGTTATGCGTAAGTGTTAATTCATTGCGATAATGCTGATATGAAATTGGTATGAGTTACAACATTAGTATCCACACCTGATTTTTGAACCAATAGTTAGTGAGGTTAAGTTTAGAGGGTTTCTTTCAAATCTTTATTGAATTATTGATACCATTTTCGACTCATACTGCACAAGCTCTTGTATCGACACTTCTATTACCGGAAGTAACACCAGTAGTGTGGGTAACAGTGTTTTTGCAAAATGAAATGTGTAGGTATACTTGAGAGGAAAGGATTGCCAGGCTGGGTCTCCTATCTTTGAAAAAAGAAAGCTTAGAGGCAACGTGACAGAAGTATTTAGAATTTTGAAATGTTTTGGAAGAGTGGAGGCAGATAGTGTTTCCTCTTATTAGAATGATCATAACTAAAGGTCATCAAAATAAGATAATTATCAAGAAGTGCAAAAGGAAATTTGGAGGAAACATATTTACTTAAAATTATATGAATGTAGATCTCACTACCACAGGAAAACAGGAAATGATTGAAGTAAATATTATAGATACATTTGAGGGAGAAAGGAATAGATGGTCACATGGGTCAAATTAGATGAGACAGTAAATAGGCGGCTCAGGTAGAGCGTCAGTACGACATAGATTGATTGGGATTAGCCTGTTTTGTGCTTTATATCTTAGGTAATCCTTGTGTAGTCAAGGATGGTTAATGTGATAAATGAAAATATGTGCAGTGGATGTTGCAGTCTAAAGATGATTTTCCATCAGTATGTGAGGTGTTCTCACCCATCATCTGACTTTGGTATTACTGCATTTGAGAGATCTTGATAATAACGTTGGCTGATGTTCAGTTTCAATGCTCTGATTTTTCTAATTTTTAAAATGCACAAAATTTTACTTGTGATTTTAGAAGCCTTAAAAATAATTAATTTAGGTGCTAGCATAATTCAGTTGGAAGCATTTTCACTTCTGAGTCAGAAGGCTGTGAGTTCAAATTCCACTCCAGAACTTCAGCATCAATGTCAAACTGTATAAATGCAAGTTTTTTTTAAAAGAAAATTGTAATATAGTCATTGACTTACAGATTGTTGGATTAATGACTGGTTGGTGCTGATTCAATTCTTTCAGGTTATACATGGAGCAAAGTGATTTCTATGAAAGATTCATCAGTGGAGATGTTAACGTGGATAGGTCCTCTGAATCAGTGACCTGCCAGACATTTGAACTTACACTTCGGTCATGTTTGTATCCTCACATTGAGAAACGTTACCTAGAGTGTTGTGGAAAATTAATGCAAACTCTAAAGACAGATTACAAGTAAGGGAAAAGTGAACACGTTTGCCTCACTCGTATAGATAAAGCAAACTTTAGCAGTCTGGTATATCGATTTTAAGCAAATTGCAGTTAAATTGGATTTTTTGCTAGGAGTAAGTTAGGTGAATAAGGTACAACTTTGGAAGTATTTACTGAATAAATCCTTTAAATATTCACTGCATAGGCTTTGATTTTGAAAAAGTAGACCTGAAAATGAGTTTCTATACTTAGGTCAGCTTTTTTCATTCTTCCACAAGTTCACAAATGTTTATAATCCAAGTTTCTGGAGAATCTGTTCCAATTCGATCAGATATTCTGTTCTTTTCAACCATGCTGGTGTCCTTCACAGTATCAGGTCTCTGCCACTCGACTAGTTTTACTTCCTATATAAAGAACTTGAGTTGCAACTCCAGAATTCGCTAGCATTCGGAGTTGCTTGCTTTAGGGGCAGATTTTGTCAGAACTCTATGCTGTGCAGCTAATATGGCAGACATCAAGATGTAAAAGCAGAAATAGCTGTTTGGATCATGGATTCTGCTCTGCCATTCAATGAGATCATGGCTGATCTGATAATTATCAACTCCACTTTCCTTCCTTTTCCCCAAACCATTAAATTCTGACAATCTCAGCCTTGAATATACCTATTGACCCGACCTCTACATCTGCTGTAGCAAAGAATTGCAAAGAATTACTATCCTCTGAGAGAAATACCCCCTTCTCCTTTCTCTGTTTTAAATGAGCCACCCTTTGTTTTGAGATTATGCCCTCTGGACCTAGACTGTCCTAAATGGGGAAACAATCTTTTGACATCGTCCCTGTCAAGTCCCCTGAGAATCCTGCATATTTCAATAAGTCGCCTCTCATTCTTTTAAATGCCAATAAGTACGTGCCTATCTTACTCAACCTTTCCTCATAAGAAAATCCTTCCAAATATGGCAGCAACCTTGTGAATGTTCCCTGGACTGCCTCCAATGGTATATATGTTTCTTTGGATAAAGGCCTAAAACCTTTCACAGTATTTTAGTTATGGTCTGACTAGTGCCTTTAGCAAAGTCTCCATCCTTTGTTATACTCCATTCTCTTTGAAATAAAGGCCAACATTCTATTTGCCTTCTCTATTACCATTGAACGTGGATGCTGATTCATGGATTAGGACCCCCAAATCCCTCTGTGCTATAGCTTTCTGCAGTCTTTCCACATGTAAATAGTATTTTGTTCTTCTATTCTTTATGCCAATGTGCATAACCTCACATTTTCCTGCATTATGTTTCATCTGCCAGTTTTGTCCACTTTTGTAACCTGTCTATATCCCTCTGTAGAATTTCGTAACTTACTCACTACTTGCCTTCCCACCTATTTTTACATCATTTGCAAATCTGGTGATTATACATTCACTTCCGTCATCCAAGTCATTAGTATATACTGTGAATAATTGTAATCCGAGCACTGATCCTTATGGCGTCCCATTAGTTACGGATTGCCATCCTGAAAATGTCACTTTTTATTCAAATTCTGGATTGTATTAGTTGACCAATCCTCCATCCATGCTTATTAAGTATCCTGATGTGCCGAACCTTGTCGAATACCTTTTGAAATCCAAGTATATTATGTATACTGGTTCCACTTTATCTACCCTCTTTTGCTGTGTGAAAGGCAGATTACCTGTTCATATATTTTTGACCATGTCCTTGAAGTTAGTGAAAGATTAGACAATAAGTGCTTTGTCCTTTTGAATCTTTTCTCTCCTAATATGACAAAGCAGCTAGTTAAAACTCTAACCCTCTCACCATTTTCGAGTGTCATCTTAATAGGTTTTAAATTGAGAATTAACCCACTTTGCCCTAATCAATCCTTTGAACAAATGGGAAAGATGTTTTATGTACTTAAATATAATAAATTAATTTCTATTTTTTCCTTTAGACTGGTGGAATATCTTCAAGCTATGAGGAATTTCTTCCTGCTGGAAGCTGGAGAGACCATGTATGATTTCTATGTAGCTATCTTTGATAAAATGAAGGAAAAAGAATCCTGGCAACGCTTGTCATTTTTAAATGCCCGGTTACAAGAGGCTGTTGCACAGCGCTATCCTGAAGATAGTTCTCGGTAGGCTGATGTTAACTTTGTTTCTGGAATGTATTTGTACAAAGATATATGACCAGAACTAGAGTCCATAAGCATAAGATAGTTACAACTAATTCCAATCAAGAATTCAGGAGAAACCTCTTTTGGAGAGTGTGATTAGAATGTTTTTATATTCGTTCATGGGATGTGAGTTTTGCTGGCTAGGCCTGCATTTATTGTCCAGCCCTAACTGTCTGGAGGGCAGTTAAAATTCATAAACATTATTGTAGGTCTGTATTCACATGTAGGTGAGACCAGGTAAGAATTCTAGTCTAGTGACATTACCACAACACTGCCTCCCCTGAATGAATGTGGAATTTGCGATAATGAAGAATAGTTGAGACAGGCAGTGTAGATATGGAGAAGCCAGAAAAGTACATGAGATGGAAAGAAACATGCTGATTGAGATAGATAAAGAAGGGTAGAATGAAACATATGTTGACCATGAACACCAGGCATGTACCTGTTGGATCAGTTTCTATGCTGTAAACATAATATATATTAAGAATATAGGAAAACATGAATTAGTAAGATTCTTCAAGTATATTTTCCTAAGTTACTCAATCAATAACCTGTATTCAACTTGTTTAAATGTCAGTGTTCAAATTTAAGATCTCAACCCTAATCCCTGCAAAAAGATATTGAGAGAATCTCCATTGTACTTGAACCTCACTATTATTTTTATTCATTGTATTGCTCATCCCTAATATTCCCTTGAAATGAATAGTTTGCTAAGCCATTTCAGAGGACACTTAGGAGCTAATTACATTGCTTTGAGGCTAGAGTCACATAGAGCCCAAAATTAACACAGAAAATGCTGAAGAAATTCAGCAGTGTGGTAGCATTAGCGAAGGACAAATAGAGTTATGTTTTGAGTCCAATATGACTTTTCTTCAAAAGAAAATCCTGAGCCCAAGGTTAATATTCTGTCACATAGGTTCAAAGCTCATCATGGCAGATGGTGAAAATTGAGTTCAATAAAATATCTGGAATTTTAGAAAAAACCTAGTCTTATTGCAACCCATGTAATCATTGTAGATTGGAACAAAAACCCAATATGGTTCACTGCCCTTTAGGGAAGGAGGTCTGCCATCTGTAACTTGTCTGGCCTTACCTACACGTGACTTCAGATCCACAGCATTGTGGTTGATTGTTACCTGCCCTCTGGACAATGAAGGATAAGCAGTAAACACCTACAATACTTCAACATTCTAACAATTTTTTTAAAAAATGACTTTTTAGGTTGCAGGAATTTAGGAATACTTGCATTCCATGGACTGTTTGAGTATTTCTGTTTGTGTTTTCACTGGGATTTTGTTTTACACAGTTGTTAACCACACATTCAGCCACCCTTTTACTACTTTTTCGGAAAAAGTTCCACATGGTAAGATAGAATTTGCATTTATCCAAAACTTTTGACATATTCCAACTCATTAAAACAGTACACTGCCAATCTCAGTCAGTAATGTTGCATAGGTGAATAGTGTACTGGTTATTACCCAAGTTCTTTTAAAACAAAAATTGCAAATGAGATGAAGGGCCCACTAATCTATTCTGAACGCTGGTTGAGGGATAATTGCTGGGCCTCAGAGAGAGTTCTATGCTCTTTAACTAGCTCCACAGAGTCTGATATGCCCATCTGAACAGATGGAGCCCAACTTAATTCCTTATCTGAACAATGACACATCAGGCACTGTAGCACCAATTTGAATAAATTATTCTGCAGTTTAAATGTTGCCAAAAATGCTGTTCTGCTCATCTACCATATCCACTTTGATAAGTGACGCTTTCCTGGTTAAATTTGTGCAACCCAAATACTGCTTAAAATAAAAACTCTCCTTGGTTTAGTACAAAGCAGCTGGCTTCGTTGCAAATAATTACTTGCGAGATACCAATGCATTCTAATTGATCAAGCTGTTAGACTGGCAGGGTTTCCGGAACTGAAGAAAGCCCCATAGGGTGGCTTTCCCCTATAAGATTTTGAATGGGCAATTTAAACCCCCCCACTCCCCACAGACGCAGACACACACACACACACACAGATACATGAAAATTATAAGTCTGGACAAACGTTTCACAAACTTTAACCACCATGCTTCTAAGCATTCATTTAAGAAAAATCTGCTTATCTTTTTTAAAATCATAAGGTGCATATAGAGTAAATAGACATGGTCTCTTCCCAAGGGTGGGGGAGTCTAAACCTAGAAGACCTAGGTTTAAGGTGTGAGGGGAAAGATTTAAAAGGGACCTAAGGGGCAACTTTTTCACTCAGAGGGTGTTGTATGTATGGAATGAGCTGCCAGAGGAAGTGGTGGAGGCTGGTACAATTACAACATTTAAAAGGCATCTGGATGGGTATATGAATAGGTAGCGTTTAGAGGGATATGAGCCAAATGATGGCAAATGGGATTAGATTTGTTGAGGATATCTGGTTGGCACAGACAAGTTGGATTGAAGGGTTTGTTTCCATGCTGTACGTCTCTATGACTCTAATTCTAATCGTTGGGACCATAGTTTACACTCATTGTGCACCTCCTGTGAAAATTCCTTAATTGAAGACTACAGAGGGAAACCTTATCAACTACCATGTTATTTTCTCCTTGCCCAAAGTCTATTGAAAATCAAGAGGTGAGGGTATGGTTTTCGTAGTGGTTTAGAAACTTGGAATGAAAACTGAAAAGGTTCCTATCATATTTTGCAGACAGTATTAGGTTTAGCTTTTGTTGTGTGCTTGCAAGTCTCTTAGCAAAGTGAAATATTCTGAACAGAAGGTAATATTTGCCCACTATCATGCATTTGAGCTTTTGTCAATTGTTTGTTTTTCCAAAAATTAAATCTGCACATTTCTGCCTTGGAAAAACTGTTGTCATTATTCCTGTTGAGTATTTTCATTTTTTTTTGGACTTGTGGTTTTAACTAGGTTGTCTGTGTATTTGGAGAATATAGACATTGTGAAAAAGAGACTTCCAGTTCATTCCATTGATGGTCTTACATTGAGTTACAAGGTATGCTTAAGATTTCTTTACCCTGCCTTCTCCCAGATTTGACAGTAAATTAGAGTCAGTTTTGCTGATCGATGCTCATAACGTTGCATTTTCTTATCTTATCCTATTTTCTTAATTTTTTTAAACAGGTTCCGTGGCCTGTTGATATTGTTATCAGCTCTGAGTGTCAGAAGATTTATAATCAAGTGTTTATACTTCTGTTGCAAATTAAATGGGCCAAATACAGCCTAGATGTTCTGCGATTTGATGGTAGGATTAGGTTTCAGTGTTCATTTGAAAATATTATTGATAGTAATATATATTTTAATGAGCAGATTTTGCACTGGAAATTGATTTAATATAAAAATGCAGATTCGAAGGACTGCATTATTAATGTCATTGATTTAATTGAAATGTTCCCTTCGAGAAGAAGCTAATATCTTATGACATTGCTCCTGTGAAATCTAGTAACTAAAAAGTGGAATCCACACATCAAAGGCATGGTTGCTTGTATAGATTTTTGACTGCTGCAATTCATAAATTTGTTACTGGCTGAGAAGGGAAAGATACATGACTGGAGTGGCCAGTGCTAATTGAGGAAAGAAAATTATATTTGTCTTCCCTACAATCGTGCGTGTGGGGATGCTTCAAACGTTTTGGCATCTTCCGATGCAAATGCTTTCTTTTTGAACTGATGCAGCTGTTGCCAATAGCTTTGTGGTAACTACATCTTTACTTTTTCCAGTTTCATTCCTTTGTGGCATGCTGCATTGTAATGGTGCCCAGCTGAATTCTATAATTGAGTGAAGCTGCTTCAAAAATATTTTGCATTTTTTGAAGAACCTTAAGCACACTTGCAGTTTTGTACTGTGTGCCATTTCATGCCTGGAGAAGATTTACATTTTCTTTCCTTTGAATCATTTCTAATAGTAAAACCAGTCCCGTGGTTTTTTTAGCTGTAGTCAACTGGAAATGTACAATGTTCCACATTGAGGTCTAATCTACCTTCTAATGGCCAATATTCTGATAGGTGTCTTGTCCAGTCTGTTCAGCTATTAACCCATTTGACAAAGATTTGATAAGAGTTATGAAAAAAGCTCTTGTAAAATTTGGAGGTACCTTCAGTCGCACAGTGGTCATTGTTTCATTTGATTAGTACTAAGTCATGCAGACAAAGAAGAATACAAACTTGCATGTTTGATCTCTATCAAGTTAGTTGATCTCAGCTAGAACTGTATGGTATGAATTATGGATTACTGAGAAGAAAATTGATCAATAATCCCATTCCTGACTACATTCCAGTGAACCCCACCCAAATTCAAATAAGTATCTGATACTCTGTCTGCTGGATGATTAATGGCACAATTGAATAAACAATTGAAACTCAAGATGAGTTCCACTATTAGGCACAGGAAACAGAGGTGGGTGGAAGAAGGAATGTCAGATATATATATATTGGTCCAGAATTTTGTGGTTTCACAGTACTTATCCTTATTAGTATGCTCCTTTTTTTTCAAATAAAGAGCTTGTGGCAAGCAAGAGAGTTGCATATCATCACAAATTGCAGGATGTTTTGTTAGCCTCACCCAGTTGCTTACCATCCATCTCCCCATGAGGTTCAACAAATTGCTGTATTTGCACTGTGTAAACATAAATTAAATTCATCACAGAAGTTTAGGGCTGGTATTTGAGTACAGAATTGTCTTTTTAATTATGAGGTTTGTATTTCTGCAACATCAGAGGTTCCAGAATAAACAGCTGAAATGATTAAGTCATTTCCTGCAGATAATAAGTTGTTGCTAGAGGTTTTTTTAAATGCAATATTTTTGTTCTCTATCCGTCTTATTATTTCACTTGTTAATCCAACCCTCTTTTCACTTTCTTTGTTTCTTTCTGCATATATTTTGAGTCTAATTCACCAACTTTGTTCTTTTCTGTTTATTTTCATTTAAATTTATTGAAGAGATAGACTATTGGTCGCTTTGCCCTCATTTCTAGCAATTTGCAGCAAAAAAAATTAATACTACACTCCGACTAATGGTAACCAACATGAGAGGCATTGCTTCAGCAAATTCTGGGCCATAGGCACTTATAGTTCAGTTGCAGTACTGTATTATAGTAAAATGTGTAGTAATTATTATTTATCAGTTTTTTAAAATATGTATTTACAGAACCTATTGAAGCTTATGAAAAACCACAAACAACTCTATTTGAGAATTCCAGTTGGTCATTTAAAGCATTGAAGACACCCGTCAGACAGCAAATTCATAGGATGTTTCTGCTTAGAGTTAAACTCATGCACTTTGTCAACAGCCTGCATAACTATATAATGACTAGGGTAAGGCTTCCTTTGGTAATAAGAGAAAAGTCAAACTGATAACAACTGTTTAACTTTTTGATTTCTACAGTATATACTGGAATAGTTCTGTAAAGCTTTAGCAGCATTTTGGAAACTTGCCTTGCAGCTAAAATGTATTTCCACTATTTCCTTTCCATAAAATATTACTTTGTACGGTTTCTTTCCACTTTTTCTCACTTTGTACATCTCTTCCTGTACTAACTCGGTAAGAATGCTACCTGCTGCCTTGCCAATTTTGTTCAAGGAGTATTTCCTCTTATTTTGTTGCAATTATGCATCGAGTGTTATATAGATGAGTTGCGTTGTAAAAAACGGTTTTAGGCTGCACCTTTGATCACCCATCCACCAACCCTCAGCCCTGCCTCGCAATACGTAAATTCTATTTGCAGTTTGCATGCATTGGTTTCTGTGGGGTATGCTGGAACAGGGATGTTCAACTTGTAGCATTGAAACCATGTATGGCTCAGGAACCTTGGCAAACCAAAAAAAAACACTCCACTCTATCAAGGCTTTCTTTGTTTTCGATAAGAATGGTGACACATTGGAGACTCATGGTTAATGCATTGCAGAACATTAAGTTTGTAGACACAGCAAGTAACGAGGAAAGCTACCATTTTTTGCAAAGGGAATTGTACACCAAATCAGAGGTTATGTATAGAGGATGCTGATGAAATCTCATCTGATATACTGCGTACAGTATTAATCAGCTTATTTAATGAATGATGTAAATACATTGGAATCAGTTCAGGAAGGTTTACTAGACTAATACGTGGAATGGGGCAAAACGTTGGACAGTCTAGACTTGTATCTGCTGAAGTTTAGAAGAGCAAGAATAACTTTATTGAAGCATATAAAATCCTGAGGGATCTTGATGGGATGATTGGGAAAGAATGCTTGTGAGAGAATCTAGAACCAAGGATCATTGTTTAAAAACAAGGTATCACGACATTAAGACATAAATGAGCTTTTTTTTTCCTGTGTTTAGTCTTTGGAATTCTCTTTCTCAAAAGGTGTACTCAAAGTTTTTCAATGTTTTTTTAAGGCAGAGGCAGATAGATTCTTCGTCAGTAAGAAGGAGATAAATTATTTGGGATAGGTGGTAATGAGTATATGAGATTACAGCTAGATCAACCATTATCTTATTGAATGGTAAGCAGGCCAAAATGGCCTTCTCCTGCTCCTTACCTATATGTTGATTTTGGATGAATGTGTGCAGTAGGTGGGAATCATATATTGACAATTGTGGTCAAAGTTGAGAAATCCCATAGAAATTCCTAATTGTTTTTTCGTAGTAATCCAACAAGCCTTCTGTAGTATAATAAATGCAAATAGACCAAATTAATATTGTCAGGTAGTGTTTCAATTTTAAGAAATACATCTTGTAGAATTCATACATTAGAAAATGGGTTTTATTTCAATAAATAATTTGCTTTATGTTTAACGCTTTTAGCTTCTACATTTGAAGTAAAATCCAAATATTTTTGTTTCAAAATTGTGGCTATAAAGTTCATGTGTTTATATATTTTCTTCTAAGTATGTGGCCACCAAATAGCTGTGGCTGGAACCAATTGCTATTTAATATTTTTCAGATATTGCATAGCACAGGTCTGGAGTTTCAGCACCAAATTGAGGAAGCTAAGGATTTGGATCAGCTAATAAAAATTCATTATCGGTACCTGTCTACAATCTATGACCGTTGTTTACTTCGGGAAAAGGTGTGTTTGCTTTGAACTTACCTTAACAAGTTTTAAAAGCAGATACCACTTATATAGCAAATATTGTTGATTTTTAATTAGGTAAGTAATCAGCACACACTTAATTGATGACCAGTTGCTTCTCTGTTCACAAACATGTACAATGAGTAATTATTTTATGAAAATAACAAGTGCTTCTTTCAAATCTGGCTGTTGTATTTTAGCTTCTGTAACCTGAACCAGCTATAGTACTGTGTGTAAAGGTTAACGCCTGTGTTGTGGAATTTTTTTCAGATAAGCTTTGTGAAAGAAGCAATCATGAAAGTTTTGAATTTGGTGCTTATGTTTGCAGATCGTTGGCAGACTGGTTTAGGAGTTTCAAAGTGCGTAAAGCTATTTTCCTTTTTATTGTCTTTTAACGTTGACTGTAATTGCATCGAAATACTTGGGTGACACTTTTTTGTTGGTTGCATAGGTAGATGTAAAGCCTTTTAATCCATTACTTAATTTTTTCATTTAATTCCTATGTATTTTTTCTAATTTGATTTTTTTGTGGTTAATATGAATGCTGCAGTGATAGATTCAGACTGCATTGGCTGTTTTTGCATCAAAATTTCAAGCTTAATTTTAAAATACATGAATTGATGGCCATTGAAATATTTTCTTTTCTCTCTACTTAATAAAAATTCTGGTATCCAGTTATTGATGTTTAGGATCCAAATCGTAAAAGGTTTGGTGATGGCTTCATTGTTTTTAAGAGGCTGTCTGAATTTAACATTCTCATTTTCTTGGTTATTTTGTCAGGGTTAATTTGGTTCCAGTAAAATTTTATCAGTCATCTATTACTTATTTGTTATACATCTCATTTCATAGCTGAACAACAGAAATAACTGGGTACTTTCAGGTTTGTTGGAAGACAGAAAAGTCATACTGAAAGCATTGCAGTTGTTGCACTGAGTAGTGAGAAATGATATGGCATTCCAATCTGAAGAAATAAATATACCTAGAATCTTGTTATTCCAGAAATGTTTTCTTTAAAATGGATTAGCTGGAAACTGACTGACAGATTTTAAACTTGATAATTTCATATTCATGACTTTTGTTTTATTAGAATTGAGACTATTGAGAAGATGGAATCTGATTTCAAAAACTGCCACATGTTTTTGGTAACAGTACTAAACAAAGCTGTTTGTAGAGGATCATTTCCTCACTGTAAGTGTACCTACTTTTTTTTTAGTGGTTTGGTTTTGTGTTAAATGAGAGGATTTGGCAAGGATCTAATGCTTTCGTAAAAGGAGGAGGGGAATGAGGAATGACCAAAAAAAAGGAGCAAGCAAAATATGTATGACAGAAATTTATTTACTCACTACATTGCCACTTTGGAACATCTTCAATATACTTGAAAGAAAATCTGAAGGGACTAGTTTTGGTTTAAAACACTCCAGTGAAGAAATTAGTCTGTAATGTTAGTAGGAACTGCCGATGCTGGAGAATCTGAGACAACAAGGTGTAGAGCTGGATGAACACAGCAGGCCAAGCAGCATCAGAGGAGCAGGAAGGCTGACGTTTCGGGTCTAGACCCTTCTTCAGAAATGTGGGAGGGGGAAGGGGATTCTGAAATAAATAGGGAGAAAGGGGGATGCGGATAGAAGATGGATAAAGGAGAAGATAGGTGGAGAGGAGACAGACAGGTCAAGGAGGTGGGGTTGGAGCCAGTAAAGGTGAGTGTAGGTGGGAGTTAGGGAGGGGAGAGGTCAGTCCAGGGAGGATGGACAGGTCAAGGAGGCAGGATGAGGCTAGTAGGTAGGAGATGGGGGTGGGGTTTGAGGTGGGAGGACCGGTTAGGGAGGCGGGTACGAGCTGGGCTGGTTTTGGGATGCGGTCGGGGGAGGGGAGATTTTGAAGCTTGTGAAGCCCACATTGATACCATTAGGCTGTAGGGTACCCAAGCGACATATAAGATGCTGTTCCTGCAACCTTCGAGTGGCATCGTTGTGGCACTGCAGGAGACCCAGGACGGATATGTCGTCCAAGGAGTGGGAGGGGGAGTTGAAATGGTTCGCGACTGGGAGGTGCAGTTGTTTGGTGCGAACCGAGCGTAGGTGTTCTGCAAAGCGGTCCCCAAGCCTCCGTTTGGTTTCCCCAATGTAAAGGAGGCCACATCTGGAACACTGGATACAGTATACCACATTAGCGGATGTGCAGGTGAACATCTGTTTGATGTGGAAGGTCTTCTTAGGTCCTGGGAT